AAAGAAAGAATTTCTGCCTATGCTGTGATATAGTAAATTTACTGGAAATGGTCAAGGCTACACTGACCTTTGGTAGAGGGAAAAGGTCCTGTTTAGTGCAGGCTCAGTATATGTTTACTGAAAGTTAAAACTCACTGGAATTTGTCTCTAAGAGTAAGAATCTGTGATCTCAAGCCACAAAGAGATTTTAATCTACTATATTTTTATTTTATTTGTGGTAGTTGGGGGCAACTAATAATTATAAGTTCTGAAACTAATAATTCTGAAAGCAGAAATTCTATCAGGATGAAAAAGAACCAATTATTTTTGTAATTATCTTCTTAGAATGAGAAATGGATAGCGGCAGTTGAGTCAGATTCTGTTAGTCACACAACACTTTCTTGCTCTTTGGATCAAGGAAGCACTCTACCCTTTTGATAATTGCCTCATGGATGAGATTTGCCCTCCACACTCCAGGCTATAGAGCCAACTGCATTTTCTTCTTGAGAACCAGTCTCTCCTTCCTTTACCCTGATCCTCTCTCCCTTCCCCATGTCCTTCCAGCTCAGTGGCTGAAGGTCTCATCTGGAAAGCATGTTGCCACAGAATACAGAACCCTCTAGGGAAGAGGGAAAGCTGTATGCGTGTGGTAAAGCTTGGTGGCTCTCATCAGGTAAACAGTGTGGAAAGCTCGCTCAGTCATGCGCTAGAGCCTGTGTTACAGCGAAGTGGTGTTGCTGCTCGGCTCCATGCCCTAGCATTTGCACGTGAGGCCTGCTCAGCTAGGAGTGTTTTTATTCATGAGTCTAAAAGTTGATGAGCATTGCCACTTGGGCCATTCATTAGTAATGAAACTTTTATCTGACTCTCATTTAAGAATGACTTGTATTTAATTGATGAGGTTGGTCATGCATGTGACTCTTACACACTATAAATATGATCACAGCAAGACTCTGGTGTTTTTCTTTTCATTCTTAGCACTTTTATATGACCTCTCTTCCCTTCTAAGAAATCTCTAAGGCATCCAGAGCTGTTGCTCCTATGACTGTCTTACAGTCTGGAACTCTGCTTTCCTGTCTTCCTGATGACATCAGTCAAGTAAGTAGCAATACAGGCCAATGCCCTGAGCAGTTCTGAGTATGGCCTGATTTGGGACTTGAGAAGCTTCTAGTTCCTGCCATTGGATTGGCCAGAATTTGGGCTCCTAGATGTGCTCTAGAAACCGCACTTGGAACTACAGATAGAGATCTCCTGCCAGGAGTACCAGCTTTCAAACCAGGGCTAGAGCTTGAGGGTACATTTCTTCCTTCTCTCTTCCTCGTGTCCATGCTTCCTCTAAGAAATACACAGGTCCTTAGAGTTGTTGTGAGTTTACCCGCAGCTTATAAGCTGGAAACTCAGTGTCTCTTACCTTGGTGAACATAACATTGTAGGGCTTATTTGGGTTGCATTTGTTTGTCTTTTCCATACTCACAGAGTTTGCCTATCTTGGCAGCCTGCTGACCTAGGCAACAGTAAAGCTTCTGTCGAGGTAAGCAAACAGATGACGGCATGGGGTGCAGAGGTGACTCCTGCAGTGGATGTCTGTAATCTGCTAGGCTGGTGATCAAGCATGTGAGAACAAAAGCCAGTCTGTTTGCAGGCAAATTAGAAAATCAATGTGTGTGTTGTATTCTCTCTTTGCCTTTCTCCTGGCATAAAGGAAGGTGCTCTACTGGCCAACAGCTTTCAGAATCATCCAGGCAAGCCCCAGTCCAGAGCCTCACCTGCCTCTCACATCACCATTGGAGTTCTGAAAGAGGCCCATGTTCATCTGTCAGAACTGCTTACAGAGTTATAACCGGGAAGTTTTTCTCATACTCACCATCCGAAATGGGACTCTTACTGGCCCAGTGTTCATGTTCCATATTGTTACTCACATAAATTGATACTCATCTCTCTTTTTAACACTAATGGGGGCCTAGACAGGAATTGACTTGCTGCCTGGCTGGGAAATGTAGGAATTCCACATTAGGCAGCATAGTTCATAATTACGTATTTCACTGTTATTCCTAAGTTTTTTGTAATGTTGACAGTTAGTTGAAAATGGCCTAGATGTTTGTTGTGCAAATGGATTGTTAGGTCCTGAAGAGCAGAGGTCATACCATGTAGCCATGTCTAACCCACCTTGGGATAGGGAGTGGACTTACATCTCTTGACTAACCTCTCAAACGGCTGCTGGGCAGAGATGGTCTTATTAGATGTGTGAGGTCTTGAGTAGTGTTCCCTTCAGGCTACTAAGAAGTAGAGTGAGAGAAGGAAAGACTTTAAAGGAAGAGAAGACTTTCTGATCTGTTAACCTTAGAATATTACCAAATGGCTTTAAATATATTTTAATTTGAGTTTCAAAAGTCTACAGCTAGGTTCTCACTGCCAATCTTTGTTATTCTTCTTTGAAGTCTAAAATGATCTGCTGATGATGAGTAAGAGAAAAGGTGTTTGGTTGTATGTGGTCACCAATATGGCTTAAAGTCTATCAACAACAACAAATTATAACCTCAGTGGTGTTAGAGATTCCTAAAGCAGAAGATTATATTTAAAGTAAAGATTAGGTTTATTTGTTTTAAATAAAAGAGCTAAACCTAATACCCACTAAAACCAAAAATCCCTTTAGCATCTAGCAGTTCTCTTGGACTTGTTGCCACACCTTGTTTAAGTGTTAAATATGTGTGTGTATGTTTTTTTTTTTAATGAGACTGTAAATGCCCCACCTCCAGTTACATGTGCTAATTAAAGCTCTGTTTTGAATTGCTGAAAACCTAGTGTGGGCCAATAATTATGTCAGGCACTAGGATCATGTGGAGCAAATCAGTCAGTTGCTATCCCCTCACTCAGGGGCTTTACACTGAGGAGGAAGCTTTTCACCATCATGGCAAAGTACCTGGTATTTCATTTTGCTTTTTTTAAAAAAGAAAGAAAAGATGGCATGCAGTGCGGCTCATTGGCAGAGTGTTTGCCTTCCATGCATGAGACCCTGGGTTCAATCTTCAACGCCGCATAAAACTAAAGAAAATAAAAGTCACTTTAATTGGCCATCACACTTTAAATCTCAAAATTTTCAGAATAATAAGGAAAGGGGCTCAGGTAGCTCAACTATTGATTTGCAAATGTAAAAAGACGCATGAAATACTAAAAGGTATATTTTATTTTATTTCTATGCAGAGGATCTCATTAGATCTACGATCTAGGGTGACTGTTGTTGCTTTTCTCTGGCCGAGTCACTGATCCTGAACTTAATTTGACACTTTTATCTTTTTGATTTTAAAGGCACTAGTTATATAGAGAAAACCAGAGTGAAAGAGACATTTTCCAGCTAAATCTAAATAGAAACAAGCCAAATGAGGTGATGCATGTATATTCCAGCACTTAGGAGACTGAGGCAGGAGGACTGAGAGTTTGAGGTCAGCCTGGGCTACATAGCAAGATACTGTCTTTTAAAGTTTAAAAAAAAACAGAGGGCTGGAAATGTAGCTCAGTGATAGAGCAATTTCCTGGAATGCGCAAGGCCTTGGGTTCAATCCCCAGCACTGCTAACTAAATGCAAAAAAAAGGGAAAAAATATCTTTATCTCTTATTTTCAGCAAATCTTTCACCGAAGCTTTAATAGATAGCCTAAATTAAATACTATTGCTCACTTCCCTCTTCTTTCCTCAGCTTTTACTTTGGCACCTCTTCCAAAGGAAACTGTCCCAATAGCAGATGGCAAGAAATAACAGTTGACAGATTGAATAATCAGTCTCTAAAACACATTAATATTAGCTTCTATCCTCAGCTCTTAAATATGGTTAAAAAAAAAAATCCTTTAGCTCCTTGTTTTTGTCTTATCTTTTCTCTTTAAAAAAAAGAGAGCTGCCTGCTTCCTGAATGTTTAAGGAAACTGTGGGGACTTCAGCTGACGTGATAACAGATAAACAAAAGGAAGGACTACAGAGCCCTTTATAACCTCCTCCCATCCCTGTCTCCATTCCAACATTCCTGTTGTCTGGGCCCCTGGGGAACAAGGAGCAGCAGCTTCCACCCCAGGTGTTAGCAGTGTGGACTCCAGGCAAGCGCAGTATTCCAAGTACATTCCTTTGTGGGATTTCTGTTTCTGTAAGTACCTCATCTTAGGTTGCTTAGGACCTTGAGGACCATGTGGAGAGCGGTGGGAAGCAAGAAGAAATGGACTGAAGGGTTAGGATGGTCCCAGAGCTGGTGAATGTGGAAATTTGCTCAACTTTTAAATTTTTTTCTTTCTTTTCTTTTATGTCAGTAAAGAGTGCTCCATTCTCTCCTAAATGGCAAGAAATATCAGTGTTACTCTAAGCTGATTTTCTTTGGAGTTGCTGTGCTGTTCTGCTTTTCTTTTATCTTCATCTGTTTTATTTCCAAAGTGTGAGCTCCAGCTTCATGTCTCGCTTCTAATAAATATGTACTTACATAGTGCCACAGTATTTTCTCCAATCCTTTTCCAAGATCTCATATTAAAAGAAGATGCCGAAGCAGAGGGCATTAGTAAGAAATAAAATTTTTATGATTTTCTTAGGCATTTGCCTTCTCTTTCCATTTCAGACTTATGGTTAATGAGTTTCAAGTTTTGTCATGTTTGTATCTGTACAGTTTTTTTTTTTTTTTTTGACGGGAGCAGGGTTAGTGGGACTGGGATTTGAACTCAGAGCTTTGTAGATGCAAAGCAGGCGCTCTACCACTTGAGCCACACCTCCAGTCCATTTTGTTCTGGTTATTTCAGAGATGAGGGTCTTGTGAACTATTTGATTAGGCTGGCCTCCTGATCTCATCCTCTCAAGTAGCTGGGATTACAGGTGTGAGCCACCAGCGCCCAGCTCAACCAGAAGTTTTGTCAGCTGTTGACTTCATGACTTTTGGTTACATTAACAGCACTCAGTAAATATCCAAGAGAAGAACCTACTGATGGAAGGTGTTGTTTTAGCATTGGCATTTAAGTGATAACACCAGTTTTCTCTCTTCTGTGCTTTATTTAGATTTCGACACAGTCCCAACTGCTGGTACCTAAGAGACTGGACTGTCCACACCTGGATTAGGCAGTGTTTAAAGCATGGTGCACAAGACAAAGCCTTATATACCCTTGTAAACAAGGTAAATAGTTTCCTGGCACATTTCCCAAGTTTACATGACATAGTGTTTGTACCTATTACAGTGCAGCAAAGAATGGTACTAGAAAGCACTTTTTTAGATTACTTGCCCTCACATACTCTTACAGGTGGGACTGGGTGTAATTCCTGTAGCTATTGCTTTTCCAAGCAGCATGAATCAGGACAGGATAGGCAAAAGTGAAAGGTAGTCCAGTCAAAAGAACTCTCAACTGGTCGTCATGCTATTTTTGATCGAGACCTTGGATTTTTTGCTTGTTTCCCTACGATAAGGTTGGGGAGCGGACACAAACATTTCTTCTGGAATGAGATCTCCAGTGTATTCAGACTGTCTTATATGGTTTTTAAAAGAACGAATTCCTCCATAATTCATTTTGTCTTTCAGGTTCCTTAACTCCACCCAAGAGTCCCTAGGATTAGAGTATTTCCGAACCTTACACTCCACCCAGGGGTTGAGTCTTCATTACCTTTGTGATATAGAAGTATGTGCAAAATAAGCAAGTTTACAGTGTTGCTCTTGTTGATTTCAAGCTAAACATTTGGAGCCATAAAAGCATTTTAACAGTATTGTTATGAAAATATATTACTTCTGTAGTGTTTCTGGACCTTGAAAGTTAGAGATCAAACAGAATACTGATTTTGCCTTGGGGTCCTCTCTATCCAGAATGATTTTCATTCCCATGATTTGGGCCTAATTCAACTTAACATACATTGTATCCAGATTACATGTGAGACATTGAATTAGTTACGGCAGTAGATACTAAAATGAGCAATAGCCTCTCCTTGCCTTTAGGAAGCTGATAAGTTAATAAGGTTGATAAGCAGGTTCACTGAGAAGTCTAACATTAGGAAAATGTAAGTGCCATACAAGAGTACCAGTGAAAAGAAAATTAATGTGAAGGAATCCAGTTGGAAGGAAAAAATTAGAAAAAAATGATACTATTTAAGCTGGTCACCAAAAGATGTGTGCTTGAGCAAAAATGTTTCCCTTTTGCCTGGAATATAAGATATGTTAAAGGGAAACTGTAAGGGATGGCGTAAGAGGCTAGGCCAGGTCCCTACATAATGGACAATCAATATAATAGCCTTGAATCTCTAGAGGACGAAAGGGAAGGCCATAGAGGAAGGGATAGATTAAATTCTGCTCTCTTCAGTTCCCAATATAATGATACAGATGAATTATACGTACTCAAAGATGAAGAGTCCAATGAAAACAAAACAAGAAGGGTCTAGAAAAGTAGAAAAAAGTCTTTCTCATTTCTGATGTTTCTAGAGTCTTTTAATGAGGAGATCACCAGAATAGAAGTCAGAAAAACCAAGCTGTAACCTTTTAGATTCCATGAGTTGCCCATAACTTCACATAAATAATTTTCCCTTTCTAGATACTAGTTTTTTCAACATGAATTTGAGTGGGTTGTACTAAATCAGTGACTTCCAATACTGGCTGCCCATTAGGTACCCATGAAGCTTTTAAAAATTGACGGTCCTTGTCTCTACCACCAAGATTCTAATTTAATTGCTCTTCTGATGCTTTTGCTGCTGTTGTTGTTTAAAAGAATATTTTCTATGTTTTAGAGCATTTTCAAGTTCACAGCAAAACTGATTGGAAAGTACAAAGATTTCCAAAATATCCCCTACCCCCCATATGCATAGCTTCCTCCATAACCAATGTTCCACCCCTGGAATGACATAGCTCTTAGAATTGATGAACTTATATCAAAGTCTGTAGCGTACATTACGGGTTTTGTTTTGTTTTGGTGGGACTAGAGTTTGAACTCATGGCTCAAGCTTGCAAAATAGGCACTTTACCACTTGAGCTCCACTTTACCAAATGAGTCCATTTGCTCTGTTATTTTGGAGATGGAGATCTCGAGAACTATTTGCCCAAGTCAGCCTCAAACTACAGTCTTCCTAATCTCCACCTTCCAAGTAGCTAGGATTAAAGGCATGTGCCACCTTTGTCCAGCTCTAGGTGCATTCTTGATGTATGTTGTGTGGATGCGGGTGAAATGTATAATCACAAATATCTACCATTACTGCATCATACTGGATAATTTGCCCTAAAAAATCCACTGTGCTCTGCCTCTTCATTGCTTGTAGGTATTTTTATCCTAAGCTCCCATTTGACTTTAATTTATAGTGAGGGTTGAGAATCATGAACCAGTTATTTCCTAAAGTCCTTTCCAATTTCAGTGATTTACCATCCTAAGATATTCTGGTTTTCCCCTGCTACTAGGGATTAGTGCTGATTTGGATGACAGCATTGAGAAATATAGACACTGCCCATGAGCTGCAACCTTCAAAACAGTGGCTTTTCAATATTTTTCCATGTTAGCACACCTGAGGCGTCCCATCCATGTCTGCTAGTGACAGTGAGTCAGTTCCACAGTGATTCACAACTAGTGACTAGGACTGTATCAGGCTCTCCCAAAGAAGTGGATAGAGATGGAAAAAAATTCCTCAGGTATTTCTAGCAGTTGGTGAGAGAATGGAGCAGTGTTGAGATGGTGATTGGTCTGATTGAAGTAAGAATCTAAAGCAAAAATGTAACCACAATCTATATCATTGGCAGACAAACTCAAGTGTGCATGAAAATCATATGAGCAGCTCACTAAAACATCAGAGTTCTGTGCCTAGTTCCCAGAGATTCTAATTCTGCAAGTCTGAGGCTTAGACTTTTGTTAAAGCACCCCTGGAAAATTCCGAGACAGTTGCTAAAACATCCACATTTATTCTTAAAATTCTAAAAAAAAAAAAAAAATCTATTCTTAAAGTGTCTATTTGCATTCTCAAATATTAGCTGATTGTAAACACAGCTTGGCTAAAAGCACATAGGTATTGGCAAATCTCTTGCATCCTTAAAAGCCAGACTAAGGACCAGAAAATGCTGCATAATGTTGTGCTTTCTCTTTAGGATGCATTTTTGCCTTGTCATTCTTACTATAAAAGAACCGTAAACCAGTTAAATGGGTGGAGGGATGATTTACTATATTTTTCTCTTCGTATTGTTTTTAAGCTATGACAAGGTGTTAGAATTGAACTTTATTTTTCACATATCAATTGTCTTATATCAGACACCCACTCACAACTTTCTCACCCTGACCAACAGTTCCAATTACCAAACCTCATGAGCCACAGCTTCTATTTCACTGTCACAGATGCTGTAAAATGATAGTCATAGTTTAAAGCTAGTGGTGGCAAGTGTTATCCTGAATAATACATAGGCTAGTATTATAAACTGAACTAAAGTGGATATATTTTTCTTTTTCTCCCCTTTATTTTCATTGGTATTACAGGTTCAGTACGGAATTTTTCCAGATAACTTTACATTCAATTTGCTGATAGATTCTTTCATAAAGAAAGAAAATTACAAAGGTAAGAAACCAAACCCAGATTCAGTTATTTATTATAGTGCTTTCGGGTCCTAAAGGGAAGTATATAAATAATAGGCACTTGCTCCTTTTTAATTTTATGACATCCCTCTGCATCACTCTTTTAGTCAGAAAAGCTTGCATGAAGATTATTATCATCTATGCAAAATGTTTTTAAAACAATTATCTTTTTATTATTAGAATAGAAAATATCAAATTACATAAATTGTACAGAGAAAACATTAATTATACAGGCCAATCTCATTTTACTTCCCAAGCTGATTGAAATGCAGCACATAAATAAAGGACAAAGTAAATTAATTTAGTTTTCACATGTAATTTTGGATTCTTAATGAACAGTTGACAGAACCTAGATTTTCTTTTTAACCATATTTTTTGCCTTGTGTTCTTTTAAAATATTACTTGTTTATTTTTTTAAAAGAAACTCTTCCAGGTTCTTATTTTGCTACATTTACTAGATGATTTCCTGGTCCGCCTATCTATTTCACTTTTCCCATTTGCAAAAAGGACACAGAAATTAACACCTATGGCCTCCTTTGCAACCATGACAATATGTGGCTAGGAACCAAGCTGGCTAGGAACAGCTGCAAATAATGCTAACTCTTATAATTAGGAGCATATGCAGAGTGAACAGGATAAATCAGCCAGTTAAAATCATTTGTTGTGCTATGTACAGACATTTTGTCTTCTTTGACAACAAATAGCTACAGGAAGGAAATTATCTGAACTTGATTTTCTTAGCTTTCATCTATGTTGTACCATATCAAGGGAAAATAAGACCTGCTTTGCTATGACCAACATTCATGTGGAAATAAATACTAATGTTGTATGTTATATTCAGGGGCTTATAATTTATGAATGAGCATTTTCATAAAATGCTCATGTTTTCAAGTCTTTTGAACTGAGCCTTACTGTCCCTGTTATACTCATCAGTTTTCTGTCTGAATAATACCTGAGATTTGGGATTTCCTTTAGCCATTGTCTGCTTCTGCCTCAACAGTGAGAAGCCATCAGAGCAGAAAATGAGGTGGGCAACCTAGCCTTTCTGCTTGTCAGGGTAACCTTGAAAATGATGTACCTCCTTTCTGTATGCTTAGGTCCTCTGGCTGATAGACATGATACCTTAAGTTGGCTTCACGATGTACAAGGCATTTTCATATGTATTACCTTATTGGATTATCCAAACTTTTGAAGTAGATAGGACAAATAGTATTTTATCATTATGAAGATGATACTGGGAGCCAAGAGAACTGAAGGGTTTATGCATTGAAGTAATAGCACCTGATTTAGTATACTACCGTATGTACAGTAAAAGCTAAAGGCTTGGAAAAGACCTACGCTGTAGAAGAACTAGGACCACAGTTCACATTTTTTACTTCTTAATTCTGCATGTTTTTCTAACATGTTCTACTTTTTTAAAGAGTGTTTTATGGTTAGAAATTTGGTTATGTTACCTACAACTTATTTCCTCTCATTTTCACTTTCATCTTTTTTGCCAGATGCTTTATCTGTGGTTTTTGAGATCATGATGCAAGAAGCCTTTGAAGTGCCTTCCACTCAGCTGCTCTCCCTTTATGTTTTATACCATTGCCTGACAAAGAAGCCAGACCTCAATGTAAGTGATCTGCCCTAAAGCAGAACTGAGAACTTGAGCAAGGAGCAAGCAGTGGCTGCTCAGTAAGGTCCAAGGTGGCCAGAGGAAACCCTGCTCTCAGAATCTGGAAAACGATACTGATATGCAGCTTTGTGGCCATGCATACCCAGAAATGAGAGCACATTCTGTACTTTTAGTTTCTGGTTTCTAACAAAGTGGAACTGGATGTTCCTTCACTTGAAAGAATCTCAAGTGAAAATTCTGTGCACATTTGTTTTGGAGGGTTTGGTTTTTCAGAGCTGGGGATAGGACTCAACCTAGTGTATGCTAGAGAAGTGCTGTACCACAGATTTACACCCCCATGCCCTTGTGTACATTTTGGGACTTGTGCTAGACCGAGTGACCCCAGACATTCAGAAATGGGTTGTTGATAAACATTGGTTGCTGGACATGTGAGCAGTTAACTTTGACTGTGACTTAGTGATTATTTCATTTGTGTCAGTATTTTCCTAATGGAAAGATCCAAAATGCCAACTTTTGAGGGCTAGTGGAGTAGCTCAAGTGGTAGAGTGCCTGCCTAGCAAGCATGAGACCCGAGTTCAAATCCCACTACCACCAAAAAAAAAAAAAAGCCAAAATGCCAACTTTTGTTTTTAACTCTTAAGTTAGGATGTTTAATCATTGTTTATTGCTAGCCTAAGAATAACAACAGTGATAACAATAGTAACTATTATTTAAATAGCACTTTACACTAAACAGTGTTCATGGTATTGTAAATATATTAATATCTTTAATATTCATAATAATTCTGTAAAGATGAGACTGGGGCACAAAGATGTTATAAAATAGCCACCCAGCTAGTAGGTGATGCCAGGCAATCTGTCTCTACTATCTGTTCTTAACCTCAAATGTAACATCAGAAAATCCCATTTTGGGTAAATCATGTTAGTTAGCCCACTAGGAAAGTCAAACTTCCCTAGATTAGAGTGGTTTGCCTTTGAAAGTAACCATCTGATCCTTAATTACACTTTCACTTTCACTTTACTTGTCTGTGCTAGCAACGCCCAAGAGGTTTTGTTTTTCTCCCAAGGTGTCTGCTTTTTTTCAGAGGTTTTAAAAAAAAAAAAAACCCAAGAACTGGCTCGTTTCACACACAACTGTTCACAATCAAGAAGTTTAGGTATCAGTCAACACTGGGGTGCCTCACTCGTACCTGGCAGTAATTGCAGCCTGCAGACCCCGTTCATTCTACTTCCTCCCTGGCGTCTTAGCACTGAGACCTCTGTAGCGCAGCATATGCTTTGTGCTCTGTGCTGAAGCCAGACCAGGACTGCAGCCCTGTTCCATGGCTCCAAGGAGATCACAGCCCCCATTTACCTAGGGAGTTGTCAAGGCTGCCCCCTGGGCCCGGTGTTTCCAGGGAGTCTATGATCACTATTATAACTAGTGTGTGGTGGGCTTAGCAATATTTGTGGTTTTGTCCTTTTTTATTTTTTCCATGTCTCAAAAGGCTTCAATTTTATTGAAGTGTAATTTTGTACCCAGGGTTGAAAGAAATGATCACTAAGTGCTTCTCATTGCCTAACTTGTTTTTAAGATGTATCAGCAACTTAATAGTGATATTTATTTTAGCACTGTGAAGAAGAAATTTTATCTTGTTTAAAATTCAAAGCTTGCCTCATAGTAGTGTGAGTGAATGTGCAGCTGATAGCATGTGAAATCTTCTTTGATCCTCTCAAGTCCATGGGGGTCCAGAGAGTACTCTTTATTTTTGTTTTGCTTTTCTGATTATAAAGGGAACACTTACTCATCACCAAAGTTTGGAAAACGATGAAAAGTACAAAGAAGAAAACCCAAATTACTCATAATTTCAGTGCCCAGAAATCTGTTCCATAGAGTATTTCTGTTCTGTATTTTTCTTTAAATATAAATACCTTTTATTTACAAAATTGGGATTATTTATATATAGCTTTGTTCTTTTAATTTTTTTTTCTTTTGGTGGTACTGACGTTTAAACTCAGGGCCTTATGCCTGGCAGGTGCTCTACCTCTTGAGCCACTTCATCAGCCCTTGATACGTTTATTCAATGCTGCAACATGTTCTTTTCCTCCATGTCATTAAAAATCATATTTTTCATGAAGTATTCATTGCTTAGGTGGACACTGACCTGGTATATTCTGTTGCAGTGGGAAGAGGAGAGGAATTTTGGTGCATCGTTATTACTTCTGGGCCTAAAACAAAAGAACCCAGTAGGTTTGAGTTCCCAGTTGTATGGCTATGCGCTTCTTGGTAAGTTAAGTTATATCCTTATAAGTGTTGTTCTTCATGGATAGATTTGATGCAGTCTTGTTTCATAATACAATTATAATTTGATTTAAACTTACTAGTCAAAGGCCTTACAATTATGATGAGGTAATACCTCACACAGATAAGGTTAAGAACCGATGGTGGTAGCTGTAGATAATATTTTGTGCAATCACTGTGAGAGAGGGATGGAGAAAAGAAAGTTCTAGCACAATAGGGAGAGCCAGGCAGTAAAGCCTTTCCCAGTATTATCAGATCTTCTGTCTCTTTCTACTCAAAGCCCAGGAAGTAAGAAATGAAGAAGGGTGGTTTGAACTGGTCTTTGACTTTTTTTTTCAGGAGAAGGAAGAAAAACTCACACTGTGCCAGTGTGATTGTACAGTATGGTATGATGGTGGCTTAAGTTTAGTGTTCTTATTGCTTTGAAAATCAGATCAGTTGATAGGAATGGCCTCAGCACCTGGATTGTGTGGAATCTGGGCAAATGACATTTAACCTAATGTGTGAGAAATGTGTCCCAATTTGTACATTTATGAAGTGTGTGTTATTTCATTACTCTTCCATCCTCTCTTACATAGTTAGGTCTCCAGGAAAGCACTTTCTCTTCATCATTCATTGTTTCTGCATACCTGCCTTTGCTCTCTGAAAATCACCAGTGTTGTAGAATTTGATGACTTTTGAAGTTGATCTTTGCCAACAAAATGTAGTATGGCATTCTTGGATGCTGGTTCTGGTATAAAGTAGCAGAAGTCTTTAAGCACTTACTAGACCAGCTATCAGATTTACCAAAGAATTGAGCACTTTTTGCTTTGTCAGCCTGTATAACTCAGACAGGCCTCAAATTCCCATTTCTCTTGCCTCTACCTCACAAGTCTTGGCATTAAAAGTGTGCACCAACACACCTGACTTGACCACTCTTTGGAAACCACTTTTTCCTTATTTGTTACCTAGTTTTGATTTTTGAATCACATCAGTTTTCTTTTGCATTCAGATTAGCGTTCAGCACTACTATATTGCATGACTGTTCAGGAAGTCGGCAAGGCTAGGAAAACATACTTTGCTTTTGTTTGGGGGCAAAGGTGCTAGTCCTTTGTGCTTGGCAGTCATCTGATGAGAAGCTCTTTGTTTTCATTGTGTAGCGCCTTGCAGCCTCACTCAACCCTGATGGAAACAGTGCCCCAGAATGACTGCAGTCTAGCCCCAAGCATCTTAAAAGTCTAAAATTAGCTGCTGCCTGATAAGCTTTGTCTGTCTGTGTCCCACTATAGCTTTCCCAAATCCTCCTTCCCAAGAAAGATAAGTAGAGGTAGATTTAAGAGCCAGCAGCTCAAGGTGACCTTGATCAATTAGTGCAGAGAGGTTTTCTGCTCCACAGTACAGGCTGCCCCTGTCCCTGCCGGAGACTCCACTATTCATGTCCACAGCTCGAGCTCCAGTTTTTGATGGCTTGATGTACCAAATCCAATCCAAAAGGATTGTCAGGTCTCTATGATTTAAAAACTGATGAAACTCAAACAAAGGGAAAAAGAGGAAAATAAGGGTGTCCTCCCCCCATAAAGACAGTAGATTGGATATTTTAGCACTTTTCAAAAAATGTCAAACATCTCCTAACAAGGGAAAGTTACCAGATATTGAAGTTTCTGGTGTAAGGAAAGTTGTGGAATTTCTTTTTCTGGGAAAGATTTTAATTTTGAAGCAAAAATGGTATTTCCTTCGATTTGCATTTTAAGGGTATTCCTTCTTAAAGGCAGATATGTCAACCTCTGGAAATTTAACTCAGCCCTGTAATTCACGAACACTCATGAGAATCTGCCAAACCAAATGAGAAAGAGAAAAAACAAGACTATACTATTTTGTATTTAGAAATGTACAGGGTGAGTTTCACCATAGTCTTCATCATCTGTCTGCAGAATTACCATATATTTGAGGTGAGATGAGGCTCTTGATGCAGATCTGAAATGATCCTTCTCTGTTGCAGAACTGCTGGACAGATATTCACTTGTGTCTTCAAGTCCTCACTCTCATAGTGGAAGACAACCTTCTTTGTTTTCTTTCTGACTACAGGAAAGGTGGAATTGCAGCACGGGCTACGGGCTGTGTACCATAACATGCCTCTGATATGGAAACCAGGTTACCTTGACAGAGCCCTTCAAGTGATGGAGAAGGTGGCCTCCTCCCCAGAAGACCTAAAGCTGTGTAGAGAAGCGGTGTGTTCCTCAGCCCTTGTTCAGTGAGATTTAGCCGTCTCTGTTCCTCTTGATATGTTGCGCTTTGAATTAGTATTTATTGTCTTTTCCCTTCCTCTACTTTCTATATTTATATAGAATAGCTACTTATCCAGTTGAAAAGGGATCAAAAAAACACATTTTCATTGCTACTGATTAAAAAAAAAAAAACCACTGGAAAATAAAATTAGTATTGATTTATAGCTCATTTATAGCTCCCCTGAAACTTAAGCTGAGTTCGAAAGAATACCAACAGCTCCACTTTCCTTCCCCACCAAAAAATCTGAGCAAAGATTTCACTTCAAACATTTATAGCATCTCCACGACCCTGTGTAGTTCCCTAAGGCTGCATAGCAATTTTCTTTCCCTAGAAAGGCCCTCAAGAAATGAACATGGGGACATTAAACTGTTCTGTGGTGAATGTGTGATTTGGAGGTCTAGATCGAATGTCTTTTCAAAGTTGGAAGGCGTTCCCGTTGCCTGGCCTGAAACCAGCACCAAATCTCATCTTTCTTAATCACCTAGGACTTAGCTCAGACTAGAGAACATGAGAGGCCAGAGACCCCACGGGGAGCAATAGTGTCCTGTCCTGTCCTGTCCAAGCAGCTTTCCTAGCCAGACCAATGCCTAGCCTGGAAAGACAATGGCTGACCCATTATCAGGATGAAAAGTCACCTTAGAGCCACTTCTTTGTTTTATCTTAACCCTGATATCTAAGACTCACCCCTTGCTTTTCATTTCAGTCATGAGACATAGGTCCAGTGCCCATACTGGCACCTTAAACTAATGTCTAGTGAGTTGTTAACATTCTTTGCCAGATGTTTATAACATAGGGTACACATTACTAAATATATATTATAAAATATATAAACATATACATAGAATATATAAAACATATAAAATATATTTGTTTTAAGGCACTGCAGTCAGGGCTGGTGATTGAAGAACCAAAATTACATGTAAATCCTTTGCCAGGGAAGTAATTCCTTCAGTCTGAGCCACGTTTGCATTCTTCTTATTGTGACTCTCAGGAACATGATTCACACGCCAGCAAGAGTGTGATGTGTGTCTGGTTGGGTGGAATGCACTAGCAGTAGTAAAGTGCCTTGGTGTAGCTTTTGGATATCTGTTCCAATGGGACATGGACAGAATTAATTGGCATCCAAGCAGGTGCTTATGCTGGCCTTGCTGTTGTTTCCATCCCATCTCTAATGACTAGGTCCTCCTGTGTCAAGGGAGGTTTACCTCAGAGTGGAAGCAGAGGAGGCGAGGGGTCAAAAACAAAAAGAAAGCCTGTGTTTTTCGTACTATTTAAATCTTAGAAATCACCTCATTAAGATGAATTTCATGTGCATATCTCTGGCCTTTGCCAGCAGCTTATGTGGATTAGGCTGATCCCCAATTTACAGATGCTCAGTGAGTGAAGGCCTTTCTCTGAGGGAGGCCCTTGCCTGTATCCCGCGGCTTTGACATGCATTCAGAATGCCTTTTGTTGGCTGTGGTCTTGGTGGTCTTTCTTTCCCTTTGACCTAATTCTAAACTGACTCCAAAGGGAGATATGAAAGGGGAAAGTTATTTAATGCCCAACAAGCACCATTCTTGGGTTCCTACCTGGCTAATTAAAAGCCAACTTAAATATACCATTGTGCTGGTTCACTTACACAAATAACTCTTAGCTTGATTGTTTATACCATTTGTTTTGAACTAAGTTTTCCATATCATCTGAGGGGGTGCTTCTAATGCATAAAAATATAATCATTGATATATCCCACTTCCTTTTTTTTGCAGCACTGGAGACTGAAATCAGGCCTCATGCCTGCTAGACAGGTACACTACACTGAGTACCAGAAAATTTCTCATGGTTTTTCAGGTCCCATTTCTCCCTTTTTTTCACTTCTTCCAGCCACCCTCTCTTCACAATGTGCTGTGAAGATTTCGTGATATATAGTTCCTAACCCTGTTTCTGCCCTACAGCTCAATGTGCTGGACGGAGTGCTGAAAACACTGACTTCTCCAGCCGAAGGGGCTTCAGAGACACCGTCTCAAGAAGGTGAAAACAGCCAGGGCTCAGAAAACTTGGTGGAGCAGCTGGACATAGAGGAACCAGAACAGTCCAAGCTTCCTCAATACCTGGAACGATTTAAGGTGAATCAAGCAGAAATTGAGTCTCTCTCAGCTGTGCATAAAACATGCTCCTCTCCTATGGTAATGGACGAGCAGCCTTTTCATCCATCAGTGATGCACACAAAAGCATCAAAAATTATATTTTTATTGCTTAAAATTAACCAATGGTCTTAAAAGAAACCAATGGGATTTTTATGCTGCTTTTTGCACTTGAGTTAATCAGTCATAGTTTTGTTCCCTTACAGCAGCATGTCATTCACCACTCATCACTGATAGGTGCCCGATGAGGGATAACAGCTTGCCTCCTCATGGCAATAACCCTACGCCCATTCTGTGTGGAAAGTATCTGTTCATTTCTCCCTAATGCACTGATGTGCGGAATCGGAAACCCAGTCAGATATTCCAGAGCCACTGTGCACCATGGAGAGATACGATGCAGGCATCTTTTGTCACTCATCTTTGGCAGCTTTGTGCTGTTCACGAGGGCCATTAGAAATACTCTCCTATACTGCGTGGCATATGTAAACAGGTTTCCAGAACAGCCCCGAGCTCTCAAGCTGTCTTTGGTAGCTTTCAGCTCTACATCTCCAAATGCTCCATAGTCAGTGTCAGGAAAGAAGATCCAAGTGCAGCATTTAAACCCTTGGCCTCCTCTTACTTTCTTTCTCACCCATTTAGTGTAAAGAGATTAAAAAACAAAACAAACAAACAAAAAAACACTGCCTGGACAGGAGGTCTTTGTACAGAGCAGAGAACTTTCTCATTCATGCCAGCTGAACCATTGTCATTTTGCAACAGAAATCTTGCTAGGTTACTACTTTAAATCTAGGTAGTAACTAGTAGTAACTGCATTAAACCAGCTTTGGGAACTTCCCCATGTTATAAGGGAGATCCTGTTGTATTTTAAGCAGTTGTTGCTTTCAGTACTTCCGTAAGGTCATTGCCCAGCTTCTCTCTTTAAAATTTAAAACTGAGAAAGAAAGGTTAATTAGTGTTCCCACAGTCACAGAGTAAAGTCAGAAATTTGCATACCTGTCCTTTCCTAACTTTGTAGGATTAAAAGGTGAGGGAAATCTACTTGGCCCTGCATATTTGCGTTCACCACACTCGCTCCTGAAAATGATCACCTTTTCCTTTTGTGTTGGATAAATCGAATCTCAGAAGGTACAAACCTGTATTTGCATTAAGTGCTCAGCCTTCACACTTCCACAGATGCATTTTATGAAAAAAATGAAGAAAACAGAGACAAATGTTTGTTGACTGCTAGCTGTGGTAGGCACCACCTGCACTTCTGTCATCCTCACAAGGTCTGGGTGGGACATTCTCTTCAGGCTGAGAGACACCAGCCCGTGAGTGACTGAATTTGGACTGGAACAAGTATTCCGGCTTAAGATTTGCATCCATATTCTGGTGTTTTGGGCTGTCTCTTTGGCCTCAAACCACCTGAGGGTGACATCAGAAAGAAATCATTTTCATTATATACTTCCTTTTCTTCATGCTACCTGATTTTTATTAACCTGAGGTAATTTGTTTGGGACCTGTTTTTATATGGCTAGGCCTCTGGCCACTGCTCAGAGCCCATGGGCCCGCCCACTTTCCACCCCCTTTACTGGAGTAGGCCACGTCACTCCTGCCATTTGGGTCACATTGGTTTGTGGTCCGTGGCGACGTGTGGTGTCAGCTGCAGCTGGGGCCATAAGTGGCGCTCTTGATGCTCTGCATCTTGAAGCACTTCAGTAGATTAATGTTTTTCATGCTTTACTTCCCCAGGAACACAGCTCAGACCAAACCACACTTCCACTTCCGATGAAGCTGTGATCAGGCAGGATGTGGGGGCTGACCCACAACCCTGCAGGGTTGCTCAGCAGGTGGAAGCCTGTGATGGTGTAAGCACTCATGGGAGCTGTGCAGCTTGCCATTAGTGAGAAACCCTTGAAACGATTCCATCTGTTGAAAGAATTCTAGGAAGACAGGCCTTTACTGTAGTTATTTCAAGGAAAAGATACAGTGGGCTTACTGTGGACATCAGATGTTTGTGCCATTTTGCTTGCATTCTAGACTTCTAGTACTTGGAGTTTGCTGCTTTGTTTGGAATAGGTCAGAGTGAAAGTGTGTACCCTACCTGTGCTGTCTTTGCCATAGAAAAGAAGTGAAAATGACAGAGTCATAGCACATGGGGTTCCACTTACTGTGTGTGAGCTGGGGGAGAAAGCACATGTGGTACATCTTAGCAAAACTGCTGAGCTGACAAAAAAAAAGGCAAAGACAGCAGGGCCTGGATGAAAGGCAGCCGCACAGCTTCCCAACAGAGTGCCTTTTCCTAAGCAGAATGTGTGGCTATTTGGCAAGAGCCTTAATCACTTCTCTTTTCTTCTTTTTCTCCCACCTGCTTCCCTATCTTTTTTTTTTTTCGTTGTTTTCAACAGGCCTCACAGTCAAAGCTGCAGGCTCTGGGCAGAGTTGAGTCAGAAAGCCTTTTGACTCTGACCACCCAGCTTGTGACGGCACAGCTCCCTGCCTGTGAAGCTGAGGACATCGCCACCTATGAGCAAAAACTGCAGCAGTGGCACCTGGAGCGGGTGCAGTTGATACAGAGGGAGCAGGAGCAGAGGGAGAAAGCAAAGCAACAGCACCAGGCCCGAAAGGCAGCAAAGGCAGCAGCCTAACAGACCCCCAGCCAGTCCTGCACGGGGCCTCCTAGGCCTCCACAGCATTCAGCAGGGAGGAAGCCGGGGTTCGGCCTCCTCTCTCCGGCTTCTCCTTTTCTCAGAGCTGAAAACCACAGTGTGCTGTGTATCAAACACTGAATGCCCATCCAGATGCTGAGAAGGGCTCCAGAACTGGGAAAGTGGCAAGGCTGGACTGAAGCCACCAGCCCATCCCTTAACGGGCTCTTGAAGCTCATGGTGGGGTTCTGGGCACAGGGATCAATTGTCAGCATGGAAAGTTCCCAGTGCCTCTTGAGGGTGGTGGGAGAAAGAAGTAAGGTGACTGGACTATAGGTACCAAGACCTCATGCCAAGTGTCCCTGTGAGCCAGCCCACACTCCTAATTACTCCTTTCCATCACACCTTCTCCTTTTCACGCTGCTCTGAGAGAAATCCAGGACAGGAGTGAACTTGGAAGCCCGTGGCCCCACTGGATTTCAGATTTTAGTTACCCATGGTGACATTTTTAGAAAGCAAGGGCTTTTGAGGAGAAACCACCCCAGCTGTGAACATTGTGACCTGGCCTCTTCGTCATGCCACATAACTTTTTCCAAAGCATTGTCTCAGCTCCTTTATTAAGTGGGTAAAATGAGCCTTTTGTGTATACACACACACACGTATGCACGCACAACTTGTGAGCACACATTTTGGTTAAAGAAGTTGGAGAAAATGAGAAGTGGGATAGGCCTTGAAGTGCATAGCTGCTATGAATAATTGTAAAGCTGTCAGAAGATACATATTTCTTTCTCCAGGTTTCTCCTTTGTGAAAGGGTCAGGGGGCAGCTTTTATTTGCTATGTAATGTCGCCTTCAAGTACACTGGTATATTTTTATTCAGGATTGCACTCTTTTATCAAGTACCTGTGGAAATAAAGAATATACCAAAATAAGCTGTGTTTTATTTTTCATCATTATTGTTACTGTGCTTTTGTGATTTCAGGGGACGGTATGGAGTTTGAACTCAGGGCCTCCTACTTGCTAGGCATGTGTACTACCACTTGGGCCATACCCCCAGCCCTTTTTGCTTTAGTTTGTTTTTAGAAAGGGTCACTGCCCACACTGACCTCAGATCTGTATCTTCCTACCTTCACCCCCCCAAGTAGCTTGGATTATAGCTGTACATCACCATGCCTGGCTTATTTTTGAGATAGAGTCTTGATAACTTTTTTGAAATGGTTGTCCTCAAACTACAATCCTCCTGTTTCCTCTGCCTCCCACATATCTGGGATTGCAATCATATGCTACCATGCCCAGCATGTTACTGTTCTTTTGAACAGCACATTTTAACTTCCTGCATTAGACTGCGACATTTATAATAACAGTCACCACTCACATTTATTAGGGACTTGCCAAAAGCTCAAACAGCCCTATGAGTGGTACCATTATCCCCATGTTATAAAAAAGGAAGTGAAACTTAAATTGCTCTACTACTACTGCCCTCTGCCCCTGTGTCCTCCATATGTAACTGCAGTCATTGTCCAACACAGACTTGCAGACCAGCTCTGCTGACTCTTGCTTAGAAAGAGGCTCATAGCCAAAAGTCAATACTAGCATTTTGACTGATGCAAGGCAGGGCTTTTCCAGCAACTCCTGCGTAACTCCAAGAGGAAAATTCAGAAAAAACCAGAAGGCGATTTTTGCTCAGTAAGTGAGTGCCTATCACAGTGTGGAGCATGTAGTTAATATGTTGGCTCCTAATCTTGCCTTCACTTTTCTTCCCCTTCTGTCCTTCTGTGCTTACTTCAGCCCTCACCCAAAGAGGCCTGCCTCTGTGCTGCTGCCCTGTTGGGAGCCTTGTACGCTCCTCCTCCTTGGTTCCCTTTCACTCCTGTGCCCCCATCTCTCCCAGGAACTCTTGGAGTCTCTCTCTCCCGACTCTGTTACCTCTTCTCCACACACCTGTCTTTGGAGCAGTAGGATACTCTCCAACTGTCCTTGGTGACATTTGTCCTCTGTCCCTTTCCCTCAGCACCCCCCTTGCAATAGACAAAGTACACTTGGTGCCCTGGCCTGTGGGGAAATCACCTTCCCTCTAGCTGACCTGCCAGAGTTGCAGCCAGACCTCTGGCCTCAAAGCACCAACCCAACGCCTTAGACCTGGAAGTCCCGTTCCAGTCTTCTGTCGGACCAACAGCCCTGCTGAACCAGGTTGTGCATCTTACTTCTCACGTGCAAACACTTGCCCTTACTCGTCACGTCACTCAAACACTCCATCTCCAGAATTCAGATCCCATTTACTTCCCACCCGGGGCACCATGGTCAGCCATTCCACTGATGTCTCAGCATCTTTCCTTTCCCTTTATCCAGGCCCACTCGCATCCTTGGACCTGCATCTTTGGACCCTCCTGTGGGTTGAATTGTGTCCCCTAAAAATGATATGCTTGCAATCTGCAAATAAAGTCTTTTGTTGAGGGACTCAAGACTGTTAGGGTAAATCCTAATCCAGTATGACTGGTGTTCATTAAAGCAGAAATGTGTGTGCAGAGATTCACACAGAAGGCAGTGTGAACACACAGTGAGGGACGGCCATGTGACTGGAGGGAAGTAGCTGAAAACAAACCATGTGGTGTCTGCTTGCCCACAGACAAGCTGGGAGAAGCAAGGGGGGATTCTCCCCTAAAGCCTTCACAGAGCACTGCCCTGTTGCTGCTGGATTTCAGACTCGTAGCCTCCAGAACTGTTGTGTTCTTTTAAGCCACTTTGTAACAGTAGCCTTAGGGTTGACTGCCACCATTTTTTTTTCTTTCTGTTTGCTTCTGACCTACTCAGTGTTGGTATATGAAGCAATATTAGGCTGACTAAATTCCTCTGCAAAATCATGGCTCATATCTTCAACCCAGTAATCACTCCATTTATCTGTATATTCATTTTTCCTTCGGCAGCTTTGCATGAGTCCAGGACCCTTGTCTTAGAACAATGAACAGATGTTCCTGTCTCCCACCTTATCAAGGTAATTTGGGGCCACCTAACAGCCTCAACCTCCCTCCTTTCTACCCAACAATGCCCTACCCTTACCATTTCTCCATCATCTCCTTCCTCCTTGCCAAGGTTAAAACTCTCCATTTGTGGCCTCAGCTCCATACCTCCCATCCTCTTTCAGAGCCATCAAAAATTCCCTTTCCATTTGGGACTTCCATCTGCACTCTGATTCGGTCCCCCTTCCCTTCATTCTACCATTAGTCAAGCTGCCATCCTATTACTCTACTTGCCTGTATCACCAAACTCAAAAGGGGGTGTCCACTGGCTGACTCAATGCTCACTCATTAAACCTTGAGAATTCTGCTTTCAGCTTTACTACTCTGCTACACTGTGTGTTATCAACAACGATTCCTTTCCTGTCTTACACACTCTGTTTGTGAGCTTGGGATTGCAGCATGTGTACATCTCCGCCAGGGCCACTTTTGGGTGCTCACAAGCACCTGCCATATACAAAGCACCATACTAAGCACTATGGAGTTGACAGAGCTCAGTAATGTAGATCCTGCCCTCAAATAACTTAGGTTCTAGTGAAGAAAAGGCACATGTCAACACAGCTGAAGGTGTCAGATGCAGGTAAAGTGTGGGGGAGATCACAGGAAGAGCCCTGCAGGCTGGGAGATGAGCAAAGCCCTAAAGAAGGGAGCTGTCACCTCCTTGGGCTTCAGTTAGTCACAGGAATGTCACAAGCTGCCCTGTGTAGAGACGACCTTCTCTGCAGAAGCCTGTGCAGAGCAGGCGTGTTAAGAAAAAGCATGTTAAATTGGACTAAAACAATTTGGGCTAAACTTCTTTCAGCCTACACTCTAGGCTCACCTCGGCCAAAAAAAGAAGGAAAAGAAAGCCAAGGTGATGGAAAGGAGGAAAAAAACAGGTACAAATGTCATACTGCCCCCTTGGGGCTCTGTTGTCTTGGCACAAAACTATGCATTGTGTTTTCCTGCCTTCTAGTTGGCCGTAGGTGTCAGATATTTGTGCAAAAAGGTTGTCAGAGATTGCATAAGAAATAACCAAAGGCCTTGAAAATAAGTTAATAAAACCACTTTTCACTGAATGAAAACAGCTACCCTTGACAGCCTATCATCTTTGTTCTACTTTGGATGTCTTCCCTGGAGATACAATGTGGCATTCTGTTTTTCCCTTTTTGTTGCAGCTATATGATGACCTTTGGAATTGAAACCTTATTTTAACCACTGCAGAAAAAAATGGAAAAACAGCTTCTGTGGTAGAACAAAGAATTTAAAATAGGGTATGAAAAAGATTTTTAGAAATCCATGTCACCTTGGGTTCTCCTGGGAGCTGATGCTGAGTCAGAGGCAGAAGTGCAAGTAAATTTGGGGGGCAAGGGGGACATGTCTATGAAAGAGAAAAGAAAGTGGAAGTAAGACTGACAGGTAAAGTCTCCTGAGGACCCACATCTGTGAAGGAAGGGAGGGGGACGCTCAAGGCCTATCTTCTGCACTGCCAACATCAGTGAGCCAAGTTGTGACTGCCTTTCCTACCATGGCCCCACCACTAAACTTAGTGACACAAGGGCTCTCTCAACAGCAAATTCCTGATGGTCTTGAGGAGTGGTGTGCTTCCTGCACCACTGGACCTGGCCTACTTCCCTTAGGCTCATTGCTTTTCCATGGCCTGCTGGGCAAGACATATTTCAGGTTTGTTCTGTTGGCCCTTTCTCTCTCCAGTCTTTTCTATGGGGGGGAGGGGGAACACTATAGGAATTGTCTGTGGGCCTCATCTGTATTCCACTTACCTGCCGCAAAGCAAAAACTTAGAAAGTTAGGAAGCCATGATACAAATCTCATGATTCATTGACCAATAATAAAAGCTAATATTTACGAATCACTTATAACCAAGTGATGTTTTAAACTCTTTAATGCATAATCTTACTTAGTTTATAAGAATATGATGTTAATACAACTGTATTTTTTATGCAAGAAAATGAAATCTTAAGAGAAGTGATTAAATGCCATGCCAGGGCCACCCTCAGTGTTGGAGAGCCAGGGTCAGCCAGATCCAACTCCTAAGACCCTGGTATCCTAGACTTGCCAGATTGCTGTCTCAGTTTAGGTCCCCAAGTGGGACAGAGGACAGGAATTTGATTGCAAGTACATAGTTGGAGGTGATCCCAAGAAGCCAAATGAGGGAGGTAGAAATATGACAGTGAAGGAGGGAAAACCAGTAAATGATGGGTAACTGAGTGTAGGGTGGGGAGGCTCACTTAAGCTGGTGACCCTCTGGTTCTAGAACAGACCTCAGCAGCCTCTTGAGGGAAGGACAGCTGGAGCACTTGTGCATGAACGCCATCACTAGTGGGAACTGTCTACAGGTGACATCAGGTGAAATGCCAGGACTGTGGTTCTCAACCAGTGGTTTTGTTTGCAGGGAACATTTAGCAATATTGGAGATATTATTGATTGTCACAACTGAGGGACTGCTATCAGAATCTAGCTGCTATCAGAATAGAGGCTAGGAATGCTGTTAAGCATCTTACAGTGGACAAGACAACTTCCTTCTGCCTCTACCCCCACCAGCTATCCAGCCCAAAATATTAGTAGTGCTGAGGTCAGAAACCCTAGCCTAGACTTGTATGAGCAGGGTGCCCACAGGAGTTTTGTAGTGATGGAGATGAGAACCATTAATAGTATTTATGGCAAATAGCTCATTTACAAATAATATTTTTCGGGCTAGAACAGTAATACTAGTTGTTTCTCATCTAACTCTGAGCACTTTTATAAAAAAATAGCCACAGTGCCGGACAGGGTGAGTCAGTCTTCTTCCTAATCAGGGTTTATTTGGGAGAAGGGTAAATGATGAATTATATGATTTTACTGTCCAGTTATAACTGGACTGGGAGCCTTAAGTTCCAAAATGAAGATGCTGTGACGTGACCTCACATGGGTCAGGGAATGAGGACTGCATGTCACCTGATGGCCTCAGTGGTGGCAGATGGGAAAGGGACAAAGTTCAAAACAGGTTCACAGGGCTTTGGCTCTAGTGAATCATGAAAGCAGAAAATGTGATGTGCTGTATTTTCATGAACTTTTCAAACTCTGAAAATGGTAATTTTTTTTAAATCCTAAGTTAGAAAATAAGGAACAAGGAAGGACTTTCAACAACATTGGGGAAATTGCTTTTTATTCTAAATATCAACTTCTTAGTTTGAAAATAACCCTTCTCTTTCCCCTTGGTTTGGCTTTTTCATAGACATTGCATACTGCCCTGAGGATGCTATTGTCTGTAGGTAAAAAGGAAATCCAAACAAAAGGTGGTGGCATTGCCCCTGAGCAATGTGGCATTGTGACAGTGACCACTAGCATCTTTTTATCTTTTTAAGCCATGTGTTTATTGTGTATGAATGTTAGAGATTCCAGATCTGAGCTTGACATGTTCAGGAAAAGAGTTAATTCTTGCAAAAGGTACTGAGATAAAGATTCCATTGGAGGCTTTAAGTGACTCAGAAGTGAGTATCCCAACCATTACAAGTTTCCTCCAGTGACAGTGTGCTGGGCCACGGCTGGGGGTGAGCTTTTCCCAGGGTCTGAATCACCAGCAGTCATTTGTCCACTTTGGTTACAAGACTCATGTTGACCTCTCCACCTTGTTGGATATCCATCCTCTGACATAATTCAGTGCATCCTCTTTAATCCTTAAAGCAACCCTGCAGGGCGGGGACCGTGATCCACTCTTTCAGAGGGGAAAACAAACTTAATGTTATTTTTCCAGGGTTGTACAATTAGAAGTCACAAGGACAGTGTGAACCAGTTTGATTCGTACAATCACTGTGTACACCTGAGACAGTACTTTGTTCATTCATTCAACAAATATTTATTGGGCCCCTTTTGTGTGTCAGGAACTGCTAAAATAGTGAAGCCACAGAAAGGAACAAAATAGACAAAGAGCCCTGCCTTTGTGACATTCTATGGAAGGAAATGCATAATTAATAGCTGTATATAATTTGTTATATGGTGATAAGTGATATGGAGATGAAGCAAGGGAGAAGACTGGAGAGTGCTGCTTAAGTGGTGCAGGTTGCCACTTAAAATGGTGATTAGGGCAGGCCTTCTTGAGAAGATGACATTTGCAAAGGGACCCATGGCCATGAGCTTGAGAATCATGAAGTCATCTGGGGAAAAGTGCATCAGACAAAAAAAAAAAAAAAAAAGAAAAAAACAGCAGCAAGGCCCCAAAGGAAAGCACAAGTGTCTGCTGACTAGTGACATGCCAGTGAGATCAGAGAGGTGTGGAAGGCAGACGTGGAAATGGAGTCAGGGATCGGAAGGGCCAGCTGTTAAGACCTCCCAGCCCATTAAGGAGGATGCTGGCTTTTACTCGGTAAGAACATTTTGAAGGCTTTGGATGAGTGGCGTGACCTGACTTAACATGGAGGACTGCTCTTACTTCTACCTGGAGAATACGCTAGGGGTGCAAAGATAGAACACAGGAAGAGCTGTCAGGAGGCCATGGCAATGATCCAGGAGAGAATGACTGTCTTTGACAAAGGAGGTGGCATTGAGTGAGAGGAAGACAGTCACATGTCACTGAACAACAGGGACATGTTCTGAAAATGCATCATCAGGTAATTGCATCGTCATTGTGAATATCAGAACTACTCACCCGCTCTATATGGAGTACACCACCATATAGACCCACGATTGACCAGTGTCATGATGTGGTGTGTGACTGTATTCTGAAGGTCAAGCCAGCTGGGTTTCCTGACAGGCTGAGACTTATGACCTGAGCACCTGGAATTAGGTATTTGCCATTTACTGAGTTGGAAAAGCCCAGGGGGAGAAGCAAGTCTGGGGAGAAAGATTGGGTGTTTGTTTGGGGGTGTGTTAAACTTGATGTGCAGTATTTGAAAGACCCCTACTGGACATCCAAATGGAAAACATAATAGGCAGCTGGGTTGTTGAGTTTGGAGATCAGAGGAAAGAGGCAAGCTGCAAACAGAATTGCAAAATCACCAGTTTACATGTGGCATTGAAACCCGAAGCTGCCTTGGAACCGCAGTGCATTTCTGGTTTGGGTGGGGATGGTCTGGGCCTGTAGACCTGGGTCCATAGGAGCATGGGAAGCTCTCTCTGCATCAAGCCCTGCACCATCACCTGTGAAACACTGCCTGCACACCCAGAGTGAGCCAGCACAACTGCTCATAGCAAATAAAGGAACTGCCTGTGATCCTAGCTGCAGATACAGTTCCATTGAGTTTCTAAGACATACAAATAGCAGATCAAAGAGGAAATGGTGATGTGAATTATGCAACAGACCAAGAATTCAGGAGTCAAGGGTATGTCAAAAGATCATTGCAGGAACACAGAAAAGCATCCCAAATGAGCAATACAATTAAAAAGAGAAAATATGGCCACAGGACCTCAATAAACCTGATTATTTGCTTGGAAGACAGAAAAAGAAAAAAGAAAAGCTGCCTCCAATGTATAAAAAAGGACCAGCTGGAAGAGGGCTAGCTCTTCTCCCGATATAATATAAATAAATAAATAACAGGGCAGTGAGCAGATACATGAAGAGCACGCTCAGGGCTCCCGTAGGACTGAGGGTTTTCTTAGCACAGGTCTTTCAGTGCTGACATTGGGCGTCCCAAGCAAACCAGGATGGTTGCCATCCTAGGTTCATGGAAAACTTCCTGGAACTGGGCAATTCAGCAATAGAACAGAAAGCAACCTACTTAGCTATTTAATTTTAGTCTTCAGATGTAATTAAAACCTCTAGGAGAAAATCCAGTTCTCATCTGCTTAATTCTTTAATTTCTGGAGGGGTTTCAGATCTCACTTAACAAACTGTAGTTTCTGACAGGACTGCTCGATGCAGTCTGGTGGTCTGAAGGCAAGATGGAAAGCAGTGAATGGGCCAAAAGGATGTCACCTGTGGTGACTCAGAATAGGTTGCAGTGGCCTTTGAGGCTATAGGACTATCTCTGAAGGCAGACAGAGCCAAGTACTGCCCGTGTGAGCACATTCTCTGTAACCACACGGGGTGAACTGAGATGCCTGGCTCTCCCCACTACACACCGCCATCCTGAGCAGTCTGTGCTTCCCAATGGCTGCTGATCCCACTCTGCTAAGCCACTGTATGAGTTGTTGCCTCTGCCTGGAATTGGCTCTCGCTCTCTCTCTGTCTCTCTCCCACCCTCTCCCCCTCTCTCCCTCATACACAAACACACTCACACTCGACAATGTGGTGCCATTGCCTATCTTTCCCAATCAGCTAAGAGAGCTGTTGTTTTGTTCCCCCTGGAAGTTCCACAATCCAGGTGTAACCACTGTTGGGTATTGAGTAAACATATAATAATTTCAACCTTACTTCTTTAGGTATTCTTTGTTATAATCATCTTTCCAAAATAATACTCATTTTATAGGGAAGAAAACAAATTCCAGGCAGGTTAAGTCCAGACAGGTCTTCCAGCTGGATGTGGCAGAGCCAGGATGAAAATCTGGTTTTTGTTTATTTGCGGTTTGTTCTGGAAACTTCACAATATTCTCCATCAAACTACACTGGTCTGTGGTTGGCAAAAATTGTTAGGCAACAATTTTAATTGTCCTTTTCCTTGACCTTAGACTCTAACATCCTCTAGAGTGTGCCTAACAAAGGAACAGTTGCAAAAATTAGTATCAGGACCTTGTGGGCTGTTCCCCCAAAGTCAGTGAGCTCAGCCTGAAAAGAATACAGTCACCTTTATCATGGATGGCAAACTCAGATAGGAATACAAAGCCAAAGGCAGACAGCATAACACACGTGAACTTTTGCCATTTTGTATTTTATTGTGGAACTGAGTTTTTTTCTCCTTTACATCAAATATCCTCAATGGAAGAGGGGATATTGCACACAAATATCATAAAAGCACTACATATTACTCTCACTGGAAACTAATTTTCTACATTAGATATGACTGGATAGGATAGAAGTGATGCAGGATTATAAGACAATACCATACACAGCTGCAGACTGACACAAACACCATTCAGAACGAGAGAGAGGAGTGTGAAGTGCTTCTCGGCCTGGCTTGGCTCAGGACGGCTTCTTTCCAGGGCTTGAAAGTGTGACTGAGCTGCAGCTGTCCAAAGGGCAGCTTCTTCTCCATGGCCCCTCTTTTGGGGAGCTCCAAACAACTGCAGAGAAGCTGGGTTTATTTTCCCTTCCTTTTCAGTTTTTGATGCTGCCTTTTAAATTAACTTCATAAAGTCACAGTTTTTTTTGTTTTTTAATATAGTGAACAGTGTTAATACCAGGTGAATAACCTAACTGCTGTCAAAGAAATGCTCATCTCTAGACTGCTGATGATGTGTTGTTCAGTTGGTTAAGGATAAAAGCTTACAGTTCCTTTCAAATGGAAACAGGATCTTTTCTCCTAAATCAGAAGCACAAAAAAAGTCATTATCCTAACTCACAGTATCATTACTGAGCAGGAATCTCCTGTGACAGATGACTAAAGAGAGGCAAGGAAAGCAATTCCAGAAGTGGAGCAGCTCCTGAGAGCTGAAATTTGGTAACAGAGGGAAAATGAAAGGTGGTGACATTTCCATTAGCAAATAATTAAATCTTATTAAATGAGGATTGAAAGCTCCTAAACTTTGTAAGCTATTGCAGACACTTAAAACATTCATATACACTGGGGAAACCATTCACTATGATATGTAACGATAAGAAAAAATTTTGTCTTTTGAATTCCATGGAAAATGGTGTTGGAGGAGGGAGAGGGAAGGGTCGGTCAGTCATTGTATTCAGTCCCACCACAAGACTGAGAAAGCATGCACAGGGGTTGGGGTTTTGAGAAAGGGGAGAGAATTGGTTAAAATTGAAAACGGAGGGTCGTCTCTAACGTTTAGTCTCTGTAGAATTTTAAGAATACTACCAAAAAGGTCATGATCATGAGTGCTATCTCAATAGAATCTCATCATTTAAACTGAGTGGAAATTCCGTCCACTCAAATATTCAAATCTATACAATCGGATTAAGAAATCAGTATGAACAAAGCTTTTAAGAAGCCTGTGTCGATTTTCAGCTCAACCATGAAGGTACATGGTACTTTGTGATGGCTGATACTAAACTAATTGTGTATTTATGGGAGTAGCAAAATTAGGTTAGTCACACAGGTAGGAAAGGTGTCTGGAAGGACAGGAGCAACCTGTAATGCAAATATTGGTTTTTCCGGTATACTCAGGCTCTGTAGCCATCATTGAGAACAATGGATGGAGTACGGTACCGATAGATTTTTGTAGGAAAAAGCCAGCTAACCAGTGACAATTTTTAAAATATTTTTTCCATTAAATCTCATAGCAGAAAAAAAAAGTGGGATAGAGTAGTTGTAGCCAAAGACTGGCTATTGATTCTCCTAAAATGCCTGCATTTTTTAAAGCAAAATATACATGTTAAATTAATTTGGGAAATTGGAAAATAACTTCATCTTCTGTCAAAGAAAGATCAACCAGAGGTCTGGATTTGGCAAGAAGGCTAGAAATTTTCTTCCCATGCATTGGCCAACTCAACAGCTAACCATTAAATAACTACCTTGAGTTTCAGTTTGTCTCATAAAGGAAGTTTGAAGTAGATGAGTTTATAGTCAAGGAAATCCATTTTCATCACAATGACTTCTATTATGTATACAATTTTTGTACCTTTAATGTGCTATTTTTAAGGACTTGGAAGAAATAAGGTAATAAATAAAAAAAATGCATTCCAAGAGAAGCCTAACAAAAATAGAATATTGATTTAAAAAAATTAAACATTTGGAAAAGGTAATTCACAGCATTAAGTAGACTGCATAGGACCCCAAAGAAGGGACCCTGAAGAAGCATTGTTTAAACCCTCATAGTAGATAGCAGTGCAAAACATACACTTAACAGACGAAAATAAACTAAAATGTTAATATTGAAATAAATAACACAGGAAATAAAGTGAGGTCATTGTTCACTACTCCGTAGCTCTTAGAGTCTGCAGGAAACGTAACGTGACAGAGCACAGCACAGTTGTCACTGAGCCATATCTGAACACTGGGTACATTGATCTGCCACTTGAGACTGGCCCTCAGTTTTAATTGTGATCTGGCTTCCCAGGTTCATGGTTCAATGATGACACTGATTGACACTATGTTTGAACTCTACAGAATGAATGCAGGAGTTGGGAAGTTGGGAATTCATTTGTTTTCAGTCTATGGTTTTTTTTGTTTTTTTTTTCCAGAAAAGAAAATCCCAAAGCAAATTTTTACAAGGGTTCTTTTGAACTTGGCTCTTTTACCTCATGGTTGAAGGTACTGAAAGAAGAATGTAGGATACCAGTGGGTGATGTACTTGTAAAGGCCCTGAAAGGTACCCTACCACCATGCCATTCTCAAGTACCACATACATAGATTTTTATGGGATGGGAATCAAAGGGTGGGAGGTTTCATTATTCCTGGTAGTTACAGGTTTTTAATAAATATTATTACTTCAGTATCAACTTCAATCTTGCCAGAACTTCAAAAACTTCAATTTTTGTCTTACGAAACACTTTAAAAAAAAAAAAAACAAAAAAAACTTCCACTTGAAATTTTTCTTTGCATTTTCCTGTAAATGAAAACATTTGTTAAAAAGTTCATCTATGAAAAGTTCTCACATATTTAAAAAAAATTCTTCTGTACACTTGTTCCCATAATTATGTTGAAATTAATGGAAAATTTAAAAAGCCAATGTAAGACAAAGGAAGGTAAATACTGTACACTTGCTGAGAACCTCTTCCACCATAAGATTCACTGTTTTCCCAGTTCTGATCACAGAAGCCATTTCACTCTTGAACTTGCAGTTGTAAAGAAGCTATGAAAGGCGCAACTTGTTTGGCTGAGGGGCCACAAGTGCATCCAAGTGGTATTCAACACGCATGACTCAGCATCAAACTGTTGGACCAATCAGATCAGCTTCTGGTTACCCCCTCGCACACACGCCTTTAACCTGAGTGCCTACAATCCTACATGGATGTTTTATAAACTTGCTGTCTCACATTAAAAAATAAGTGCATCAAGTATCTTTGTACATTCAAGTCACTTCCTAAGGCAAAATGTCTACCGTATTGTACTCCCAACTGCTTTGGTATTTGCTTCAGTTAATTGGGTGGACTTGGGTGTTGTTGCATGCAGGTTAATTGACGCAGTATGGACTAAGTGGGTGGACAAATGCTGGGAGCATGCCTTAGATCAGTCTACTCATGTCTTTAAAGAGTCTGAGAGTTCTGAATGGGGCTCAAACCATTTGCATGTCCAGTCTACACTCACTACCGTATGTCAGTGTGCAGCCTTCGAACTGAAAGAGCTTTTAATTAAGGCGTGAACGTCTCACATGCCCTCAGCACAAGTTCTGTTCTTTTTGTTCTAGCCAACTTGCTTTAGAAAATTAAGACCCTTTGGGATGACTCAGACTACAAAAATGGAAAACTTTGCCCATGTAGACTACAGAATATCTACTGACTGAGAAAATACAGACCTAATTGTTAGTTTGTCTTCTCTTTACCCCACCCTGCTCTCTCTTTTTCTCTCTGGGATTCTCACCAGAATTCCCTACCATTCCATCTCCTTCTCTTGCATTCTTTTTCTTTCTCATTCTTTCTCTCTCTTTCCTGCATTCTCTTTGTATGCTCAATCCCTCACTCCCTTTCTCCCTCCCCCCTCCTCTCTCTTGCTCTCTTTCTCCCTCTTTCTCTCTCTCTCCCTAACACAAATGCCTCTACCTAGCAGAAATCAGTTGGGTTTGCTAGTGCATGGTTTCCAAATGTTCAGCAGAGATGAATGGGGGTAGTAATTTTGCAGTAACTTGAACCCTACTGTGGGAATACTGTTACTTCCCTTAGCAATCAGCAAAAAACTGAGAAATATTAGTGACTTGCATCACATGACACAGTATAGCATTTGGCAGGTAATTGTTTAGCGACTTAATTAGATGAATTGATGTTTTAGAAAAGGTAGTTTCAAATTCAAGAATTTCTGGAAACAAAGTTCAAATCCTGTAGGGTGGCTGGCCGTGGTTTTTACAGTTCTATCTTGCATGCAGGGAAGGATTCGTCTTGCATAACCACTGTGCTGCTGCTTGCTAAAACCATGATGTTGAGGTCTTGCTGCTTCTCGTGGGTCTCCTGGTACCATTCCCTCATCACTTCTGAGTCATGAGTTGGGATCAAAGTCACCTGCAAGGAGAGAGAAAATAACTGCTTAAGGGCAGACAGAAACCACAAGTAAAAATAGAACAACCAAAACAAAGGTAGTAGTTGGACCACCAAAAGAAGGGGAGCAAAAGAAAAGTTTTCCTATTTTCCCCAGGAAGTGCGAAGGGTTTTTCAACCTACAACAAAAATTCAGGAAGCTGAATAAAGCTGTTAAAGATAACTTTTTTTCTGAGGGAAAGTTGGCAACTTTCCAAAAGCAAATGAGTGACTTGCCAATTAATTCATCCAACGTCACTATCTGCTTTTTCAGTCTTTTGGTGTTACAAGACGAAATGCCTTAGTTAAGGTGAAATTTCTCGAAAAAGCCCACCTACCGTGTGTAGCTTTAAGCTTTGTATCTTTAATTCGCCTGTGTGGTTGGGTTGGGGGAGTGAGGTACTTGGCTAATGGTTTGAAGAGGAGAAATTCCATCGAATATTCATTCAGAGGTCACTGGGTACCTCTCATTCCATATGATTCTATGTAATTCTGTGTAATATTATGCAAACACAGTTTGCTAGGTCATTCCATGCAGAAACCCAAGTTAGATAAGCAAAGCTCATAGATGACTCACTGGGGTGGGGGTGGGGAGGTAGTTAGGCATGGGGTTTGGGGATGGGAGGGATCCTATAGATTCTTCTACTATAGAATTTCACCTAACAGCTAATTTTCTCAATGGCCAAGTTCCTAGCTACAAGATTCAGCAGCTCTGCCATGGAAATAGAACCACTTTGATTCACACACAAAATACTCAGTGTATTGGGAAGAAAGGTAATTCATCTTGGCCCATTTTGCATATTAACGAATTAAGCCTAAAGTGGCTTTCCCATCTGCCATGGTCAGTGGTCCCGTCAATACTACTACTTTGCTATCTCTGTATGTTAAACCAACTTGTCCTTAGGACATTTCATATGTGACAGACTCAGGACGCAGCTCATGTAAGATTCACAATCATAAAAGCGCCTCTTTAAGCATGGTTCCTTCCCTCTGCCTCTGGACCCAGCTCAACTGCAGCACAGACACAGTCCTTGGAGTTCTTACCTGCATATTGCTGCCCCACTGAGCCTTCCCTTCCAACAAGGCGTCCAGGACAGCCCGGCTGGGCTCCTCGGCAGCAGGGTCATTCCCACTCACCACATAGTAGGATGACCGCACTCTCTTGAAAAATTCAACATCAACGTTCTTACTATTGCTGTGATTGGGAATATAGCACAGGTCCAAATATACTGGGAGGCCTGGAGGCACAGCTGAGGACTTGGCTGTCTTGGTAGTTCCTGGTCCTTTGGTTTTAAAAAGAAGATAGAGCAAGGGTCACAGCAATGTGAAGAAACCCATATGTCCAATACACCTTTCCCACTCAGCAGGACCCATGTCCTGCAAAGAGGTGACACCCTTTCCATCTGCCTGATATCTTGTAGTGGGCATCAAACACTAGCAATGTGAGAAAATATACTATGCTATTTATCAACTCAATAGGGGAACTGATGAATGGGATAGCTTCCCTTTATGGATAACCATCAGAAAGTCAGAAGAGTTTAGCAGGACACATTGTCTCAAGCCTGTAATCCTAGCTACTCAGGAGGCAGGGACCAGGAAGATCTTAGTTTAACGCCATTGGGGAAGGAAGTAGGGGGAGAGTTAGGGTGACCCCATCTCAACCAATAAAAGTGGGATGTGGTGGCATACCTATCATCCCAACTACATGGGAGGCTGAAACCTGAAATCAGGAAGACCATGGCCCAGGGTGGCCCAGACACAAAGTGAGACTTTATCTCAAAAATAACTAAAGCAGGCTAGACACCAGTGGCTCATGCCTGTAATCCCCTAGCTACTTGGGAGGCAGAGATTGAGGAGGACCACAGTTGAAGCCAGCCTGGGCAAATAGTTCATGAGATCCTATTTCAAAAAGATCCAACACAAAAAAGGGCTGGTGGAGTGAATCAAGTGTCAGAATGCCTGTCTAGTAAGCATGAGGCCCTGAGTTCAAACCCCAGGACCACCGTTCCCCCCAAAAAAACTAAAACAAAAAGGGATGGGGGCATGGCTCAAATTTTGGAGGGGCTGCCTAGCAAGCACTAGGCCCTGAGTTCAGTATCTCTAGTACCATTAAAAAAGAAAAGAAAAGAAGAGAAAGAAGAGTTTCAAGGCCTTCCTAAAAGAAGGAACTAAATAGAATATACCTCTCCGCCCCTCAAGAGCTGTATCTAACAAACATTTACATTTTAAATATCAAAAGGAAGCATTTTTATTTGGCAATCCAGTTAAGTGGCTTTTACAATCACTCTTTAGGGTCTCATTTGATACCAATTCTGTCCACAGCTGAATAGTACAGCTGAACATATGACCTAGTAAACGGTTCAGATCCTAACCCCAGATATCTCCAGAGCACGCTGCACCTCCACCTCATTCAATAGCCTGATTCCCTCCTTAGCACAGTGCTCTGCAAAGCCAGTCATCTCTCCTTAGAGAGGGTTGAACACCAACCTTTGACAAAGAAAAGCCCAGAAAGACTAGGCTTTTGCTCACCAATCAGGACATACCAGACTGGGGAAAGGGGCATCCTGTAGCCAAAATTCCCAGCCTAAAGCAGAAAGGCCCAGGAAACAAAGACCTATATGAACCCAAAGCTTCCTGGCATTGTTTAGTGAGCTGGCTTGCCGATGTGTTCAGTGTTCAGTGTTCAAGGTAGGAGATTCAGAGTTTTTGAAACAATAGTAGCAGCACTCTAGGGCAATGATCTTTCACCCTATTGCATAATTAACAGTCACCTCAGATGCTTACTGGTGACAAAGCCTCATTCTCCAGGATCTCACTTAACTGGATTAGGGCCGGGATCTGGACCTTACTGTCTTCTAAAAGCATCCTGGTGCTAATGAGCAGCTGGTTTGAGACCACTGCTAAAAAGCCATTTAAAAATGCCAGCTAGATTCTAAATTCTTAGCCCTCTTTCCTTTCTCCATGGAAGTTTAAAACTTCACCCTAGAGTCAAAACCACCAGTAAATTCCATAAATTGTCCAGTTTTACTTTTGGTGGGGTGGCTGGGGAGTGGCAAGAATCAGCCAAACTGATACTTGGATAAACTAACTCATTTTATAAATAGATTGATAGGCCATAGAGTGAAACTGAGCTGAAAGCCCTCAAAATATCTGTTTGGGCACCTCCTAAAGAATTCTCAATTACAGTAGGACTTTGACTTTCAAATTAATTCAATTCAATTATTCAATTCAATAATTATTGAATTATTGAATTCAATTATTTGAATTAATTAATTCAAATAATTAACCATGTCTGCAATTTTCCCTTGAATATTAAATCACTACTATGGACATTATTCACTGGGTTGTTTTTTCTGCCATTGTAGAAATTTTTTTTTTTAATTTTATTATTCACATGTGCATACAAGGTTTGGGTCATTTCTCCCCCAATTAACTTGTAGAAATCTAAAAGCATCTTCAAGGTAAATTTTTTTAAAAAGAATTTTTGGGACAGTTTCACTGTATAACCTAGACTGGCCTGAAACTCATGAGACTCCTGTCTCAGCCTCCCAAGTGCTGGAACTATAGGCACGTACCATTACACCCAGCCAAAATAAATTAAAATGAACTCATCTCGTCTTTATTACTTTGCCTTTAAATGTTCAAAAAAAAATTTTTTTTTAAATCAGGCCAGATGCTGGTGACTCACACCTGTAATCCTAGCTACTCAGGAGGCAAAGACCAGGAGGATCTCGGTTCGATAGTTTGTGAGACTATATCTTGAAAAAACCCACCACAAAAAAGGGTTGGTGGAGTGGCTCAAGGTAGAGGCCCTGAGTTCAAGGCCCAGTACCACATAAATTGATAAATTTGGTAGCACAGTTTTTATCTGTTTGAGTGGATTTGATGAACTTTCAGGCCAAGGGGTTAGCCATCTGGTGCTTTTACATTCGTTCTAAGCATAAACAAATTCAGTTTGCTTTCTGTATGGATGTATATGAACACTAAGTCTGATGAAAACTGAGTCCTAAAATTGATGCTCCATATAAAGTAAACATCTGTAACCAATACATCCTAAAATGTGCTGATTTTGAGAGCCCAAAATGTTCACCTCTCAGATTTTCCTTAATAAGTCAAAGAAGGGCTGGCAGCTTGGCTCAAAGCGCTGAGTTCAAACCCTAGTACTGTAAAATCAATCGATCAAAGACACAGTTAAATTCTTTTTTGCTTTATGTGTTTGGATCAATTCATAGTACTTTGTGAATTGCGATCTAAAACCCCTGGAAAATTGTATAACACAAAGAGAATGTGTTAATGTAAATTCCTGTGAATGACTAATGATTTGAAGCAACAAAATGAAGATGTGCTGCCAGAAACCAATTCCATCCAAAGCCCACCTTGCTGCTAAAAAGCAGGCAAATCTGAGAGCCAGGGGCAAATCAGGAATGATCAGAAGAAGCTGGGGATATCTGTTCCTAAGGAGAATTTCAACCTGAAATAACCTTCAGGGAGTATGGATATGGCAGAACAATCACAAGTTCAAGGCCAGTCTGTGCTACACAGCAATGCCTTGTTTCAAAAGAAAACTAGCAAGAGCAGCCAATGCTTTCCTCTCATTGGTATTGGGTACTCACTGGTCAACTGGAATTATGGTGCTCCTTAGCTTGTAAGAAAACATTACCAGGCTGGGGGTGAGGCTCAAGTGGTAGAGAACCTGCTTAGTGGGCACAAAGCATTAAGTTAAAAACCCAGTATCATACACACACAAAAAAGTTACCTTCAGTGGGGATGTATATACAAACTGGTCACTTACATTTTATATTTTCTGTTTTCAGCTGTGTTTTTTTGCAGCTGAAACACATGGGGGACTGAACCCATGGCCATGTGCACACTAGGCAAACGCGCTATCATTTAGCTACATCTTCAGTCACCTGGTGAGTTTTGTTGTGTGTGTGTGTGTGTGTGTGTGTGTGTGGTACTGGGGCTTGAACTCAGGCCCTACACCTTGAGCCACTCTATAGCTCTTTTGTTTTTTTGTAAAGGATGTTTTCAAACTATTTGCCCAGGCTGGCTTCAAACCTCGATCTTACCTCCTGAGTAGCTCGGATTACAGGCATGAACCACTGGGGCCCGGCCACCTGGTGAGTTTTTTAATTGAAAAAAAAAATCTTATAATTTCATTTTGAATTTTCTTATTAAAGAAAAAAAAGGACCGTAAATCTTAGAGTTCTGATCGTGCCAGAAATGGCATGGAACCTCTGGTTCTTCCTCGACCTTTGGGAACTCCTGGACTGGGTCACCCCCAAGCCTGCAGCCAGAGCACCTTGCACACATCCTTAGTTCTGAAGGTTTTCATCAGGACTGTAGTTGCTCTGTTCCTCAGCTGACGAATCCTAGCTGCTCTGAGCCGTATGCCAAGCTAAGCCCAAACCTGAGGGCTCCCTGGGCTAAGATACGAACCTTTAGACAAGAGACAGTAGTGGGAAGGTAAAGCAATAGTCTGTGCTCTCTGATCGTCCCAGTACAAGGCTGAATGAGGAAACAGAAAGGCTGCAGATGAAAGCACTGTCACGGCCTACATCAGGACGCCAGCGTTCTCAACCCACCTGCAGCTGCGGTCTTCACCGATTTGGAGGTGGAGGCATTGGCAGCGTTTTTGGTCTCCTTGTCTTTCTCTTCCCCACGTGTGGCTTTGACCTCAGGAGTAGTGGTGGTTTTCGTCGCTTTTTCCACAGAGTCTTTCTTCTTAGGAGAAGCCACTCTGGACACCTTATCCGAGGATTCCTTCAAGGCTCCTGGTTTGGGGGAAGCTGCCAAGGGCTTGGGCTTCCCATCAGCCTTTTTGACGGGTGAAGAGGATTTGGTCTTTGTTCCTGGCTTCTTGGTCTTGGTCTTCTCTTTTAGGTCTTTCTTCAGAGCTTTGCCCAGGTTCTGCTCAATGGCCAAGGCCTCTGGGTCTACCATGGACACATCAGGGTGGCGGGGAGAAGGGCTTCGGTCCTGCAGGGGGGCTGGAGGAGGATCCATGTGTTTGTACGTGACAGTTTTGTCTGTGGGGATGGTTTCCGACTCATCTTCCGAGTCGATATTGGCATCAGCTGTGATGGAAGGACACTCTTCCGTCTCCGGGGGGACATCAGAATCAGTCTGGGATGGAGCTGACTCGCTAACTGAGGTGGGAGGGGTTTCATCACACTGTCGCCCCTGTTGCTTTTCTCCTGGAGGTGGTGGGGCTCCCCCTGACTGAGTGAGGGGCTTCTCTGACTCCTCAATGGGATCTTCACTGGCAAACCACTCCAGAGGATTGGGATTGATGAAGGAGGGAGACAGCTCTGTCTTGGGATGCTTGTATTCACAGGAGGACACGAGGCACAAATCCACATCTTGGCGGGCCTCCGAGGGGGACTTCTTTTCTGTAGTGTAGCATCGATCTGAGGTCTCGTAGGAGTATGTAGATGCCTGGGGGGTTTTCGTGATTTTCTCCGTGGTCTCGTAACAGTATGCGGCAGACTCAGGGCTTCGTGTCGTTTTTGTAGATGTTTCATAGGAGTAACTTTCAGATTCAGGGAAGCTGCTAAGTTTCTCTGTGGTCTCGTACGAGTAGCTGGAGTCCCCGAATGTGTGGGCTGCATCCTCAGAGTCATCATAGCCATTGCTGATGTCATCCAGGAGCTTTCTGGATCTCTCAGTCTTTTCGTAGCTGTAGCCACCCACTTCTGGGGTCCTAGTTGTCTTCTCAGTTACCTCATAAGAGTACCCACCCTCTTCGGGGGTCCGCGTGGTCTTCTCAGTAATTTCACAGGCATAGCCACCATCTTCAGGGGTCTTGGTGGTTTTCTCAACAGTCTCATACAAGTAGCCACTGTCACATGGGGACTTTATGGTTTGCTCTGTCTTCTCATAGTAATAGCTACCCATATCTGGGGTCCGTGTGGATTTCTCATAAGACTCATAGTCATAATCTTCTTCATCTGGAGACCTAGTGGTTTCTCAGACTTTTGATAAGCATAGCTAAAGTCACCGGGTGTCTTCCCTCCACTGTCCTCCAAGCCAGAAGCCGTCATATCTCTATTCAAGGCCAGATGATGCTGCATTGTATCAAATAACATGGAGGCACGGAAGCCATAGGGCTCTGCGGATGTCGCATCTCCAGGTGGAGAAGAGGAGGTGTGGCAAGCTGCGGCACTCTCCTTCACTGCAGAGGTAGAATCTGAAAATTCGGGTGAGTATAAAGGAGAGGACTCTCGTGGAGTGAGAGGAGAGATATCAGATTTGGGAGACAGCTTCTCTCCTTCCAGACTCTGTACCTTTTCAGAGGCGAGTGAGGCATACAAGGACATGTCCCTGGGAGGGGCGACATCGGACAGAGTGTCTTCTTGAAGAGGAGAAGCTATCTGAGAAGGAGTATGAGCAGAAGAGGTGGATGGGGAGGCCTCCACCTGAGACACTGAGATGAACTCTGACAGGTCGTTATCCTGGGTGTAGGACGGCTCCTCCGTGGGCGGTATCTTATGTGACAAACTGGAGTCCTGCATGTCAGAAGGACTGTAGTCCACTTCGGTTGGCCCATTTTCTGTGATATGGAGGACACCTGCACCCACGGTGGAGTGATCTGGAGACTGCCGACTAAAGTCCATAGCGAGGGAGTGCTCAGGAGATTCCTGGCCAAATTCAATAGACATGGAGGACTGCTCAGATCGGTGGTCTTGAACGGGCGTCCTGGATTTGGCTGTCTTAGGAGAGAAGTCTGGAGGAGAAATTGACATCGGTCTTGGGCACTCTTCTTTAGATGGAGACATTTCCGTTTCCTGGAAGGTGGTAGGGGTTTGCACAACAGACACGGAAAGGGAGTCATCTACTTCTGTGGAGTGTGGAGAGCCAACCTCAGCATGCAGAGACGGGGACACATCGTCTGTTGTTGGCTCAGGAAACGAGCTGGTAGCCACAGAGGCTGTGGAGACTGAGGCCACCCCTTCCATGTGGGAGTGTGTGTCTTCTGCTATGCCCTCGTCCACGGGTGTGGCTGACTTGTCCGAGACGGTGCCTTCAGAAATGGACATCTTGGTATCTTCCTTGAAAGAGCCAAACTGACTGACATCTATTTGTGTGGGAGAAACATCTCCTCCCAATTTCCTTTCATCCAAGGCCAGTGCTGGTTGGGCACCCATGGCTTCCATGTCATCACTTTTCTTTTCTGGACCAAAGTCCTCCTTTATTGGTATAAAGTCTGTGCTTTTCCCTTCCCGTTCATCTTGGTAAAGGCCAGTGGAAGTCATTTCAGAAATTGGACTTATTTGATCTGGAGAGCTTGGTTTTCCATCCTTTCCTTCAAAGGGGCTTTCTGTACATCTTTCAGGAGCTGTGCCATCGGCACTTAGAAAACTTTCATATGCAGACTCAGATCCAAATAGAGGAGGACTGCGTAAAGGTGACAGGACCTTTTCAATGGGAGACTCTGAGTCAGGTACAGGCTCATCCATGGGGCTGATGGAAGCCCTTTCGCTCTCATCTTTGGCATCACCAAATTCAAAACTCACTGGAACTGCCTGTGGTTTTCCAGTGACTTCTGTAGGGAGGTGACTGGATTTCTCCTCAGTGGGAGATTGGTAGTAAGGTGTGTGGCCAGCACTGCCAGTCACAGACTGAGATGGTGACACGACTTCTAGAGTCTTCTCTTCAGGACTGGCACAGTGTTCTTCAACTACTTCTTGGGTTACCTCAGGAGACACAGAGACTGCTTCTGCTTCTGTGGAAACTTTGATCTCATTGGGTGTCAGAGAGAAGTTCACACTACGTTCACCCAGGGGGGTCTTCTCGATGGGTGATGGTGGAGACGGACTCAGGGAGGGGCTCTTGGCTGGGCTAAGTCTTTCATCTGAAACTGGAGAGACGGTACCTTTGATGTCCAACATAGCACTGGCTTTTTCTGCTTTCTCTTCAGAGCAATAAGCATCCCGGAGAGCAGATTTGCTGAATTTGTCTTCCTCCATGGATGAAGGTGGTGATATTGTAGAGGCTGTGGCACTGTAATCCTTGCCTTCAGTGGCGTCTGTTTTTGACCCGTCGGATAATCCGTTGAATGAGGCGACAACAGGTTTGGAGAATTCCTGAGAATACAGGGAAGACTCATATTTGGTGATGTTCACGAACTCCTGAGATGGGGACTCTGTCTCTTCGTTGTTGGTCTCGTCACTCATCACGTCTCGAGGAGTAGACATCTCATCCATGGGCGTGGGCTCACTGGAAATCTCAATGGTAGACTGAGTGTAGCCCGAGGTGGCAGTGAATTCCTCTGGCTGGTCTTCTCGGTTTTCCTCATCAGAAGCGGTGGCCTCACTCTCAGAGCCTCCAGGTAAAGTCTCGTCATGAATTGAAGACGCAGGTTCACGGCCAGGAGACTGGGCTCCGGGTTGCTTGGGTGGCATGGTAGGAAACCCGTACTGATCCTCAGTGCCACCAGCCTCTGCGGCTTTGTCAACCACAGCCCTCACATAATCTTCAGCTTCGGCCTTTTCAGGCTCGTATTCTTCCTCTCTGGCATCTTCAGCTTTGTCCTCTTCACCCTCCTCCTCAGACTGCTCAGCCTCCCCTTTCTCTACTCCCTCTTCCATGTCTTCTTCTGCTCTGTCGTCAGCACTGGCCACAGACTCTCTCTTCTCCTTGATGTGCACGTCTGCCTCCGCCTTTCCACTCTCTTCATCCTCAGTGGGGCTGAGCTTGGAGGTGCTCTCGCACACATTTTCCTCTCCATCCTCTTCTGGCTCCTCAGCCTCCTCTGTCTCTGCCTTCTCTTCGTAGTCCCCAGTCTCTGAGGATTCTTCAAAACCTGCTCCTTCGTCTTCAAATTTTTCAATGTCATCCACCGCCTGCTTCTCCACTGGCTCCAGCTCCTCGGGAGTTTGCTCACATTCGCCCTCCCCTTCGGTGGTTGTGATCCCCTCATCAGGAGACTCAGCAGGACCTTTGATGACTTCTGTCTCCTTCTGGATGACATAGGCTTCCACTGACTCAGTTTCCTTCAGCTTCTCTTCATCGTCAACGAGCTCCAGCTGAGGCTTGATGTCCTTTGCGACATCAATCTCTTCAGCCTTCAGCTCCTCAAAGTCCTTGGTTAGGTCCTCAGGAGATGACATCAGGGACCTCTCGGCTTCGAGTTCTTTGGCAGGGCCAGCAGCCACTATGCCAGCCACTGCTGCTGTGGCTGCCACAGTGCCAATGGCTGCGGCAGCAGCAGCCTCCGTGGGCTTACTTTCCTTCTTAACCACTTTAATTTTCCCCTTTTCCTTGGGCTTCCCGGCAGTAACAGACTCCTTCTTCACGGGCTCTTCCTTCTTAGGAACTTTTGGCTTTAAAGCAGCTGGTTTTTTTGTGTCAGATAGAGGAGTTGATGTTTTCTTGGTGTCCTTGGAGAGTTTTTTGACTTCTTTTTTGGGTTCCTTTTCTTCCTTTTTCACTTCCTTCTTTTCTTCCTTCTTAATTTCCTTCTTGGCTTCTTTCATTGGTGTTTCCTTCTTGACCTCTTTCTTGAATTCTTTTTTCTCTTCTTTCTTGATTTCCTTTTTGACTTCCTTTTTCACTTCTTCCTTTTTTGGTTTTTCCTCCTTCTTGACAGGTGTTTTCTCCTCTTTTTTGGCCACTTCTTTCTTGGGCTTCTCCTTCTCCTCTTTCTTTTCTTCGACTTTTGCCTTTGTTTCTTTCTTCACCACCTTCTCTTTGGTGATTTTGGGTTTGACGTCTGTGGCTGGCTTCTCAGGCACCTCGACTTTGGCTGGAGGCTGCTCTTCTTTGCTGGGCACCTCCTTTTCCGTCACTGGAGGTTTGGTCTCTGTTTTTACTGGCTTGTCTTTTTTCACTATGACTTTTTCTTTGCTTTCAACTTTGGGGGGCTTTTCCACCAGATTAGCTTTGCTGACATCAGGGGCTTCTTCCTTTGAATCCTTTCGCACTGATTTGCTGGGCAGTGGTTTGGCAGCTGGCTTCAGACTTTCTCGGCTGTCAGCCCTCTGCTTCAGTTTCACTTGTTTCACGGTGGGTGTGGGCACCTGGCCAGTGAGATCCTTTTGGGTGGCCAGTGGCTGCTTCAGGAAGTCTAAATGTTTGAGCTTTTCCAGTCCTTCCAGGATGTTGTACTGGGTGCTGTTTCCAGGAAACAGAACTCGAATGATTTTCTCAGCAGGGTTGGCTGGATGCCACACGATCAAGGACGAGACTGAGGTTAAGTAGGGAATTGGGATATCTACTTCTTGACCATTGGGCAAGATTAGTTCAGCTTTGTCTTTGTTGGTGCCAGTCCACTGCTGCATAAAATACTGCATTTCTTTGCTGTTCTTGACCGGGTTAAGCACATACATCTCAAGTTTACCCACTCCCATTTTTTGGAAAAGAATGACAGGATCGATGGTATTGCCTACACTTCTAAACAGAGGCTCTGGTTTCATGGACAATTTGGTGAGATATTGCAGAGTGAAGCAAGCTTCTTCTATGCCTCTCTTCATCTTGATGTTAGGTTCTGGATTTTTCAGATTTTCAGGTACGTTGAGAAAAACAACTCCCAAGTCAGGGGAGATGAGGTTTTTCATCCAGTCACTGTTGGTGGTGGAGCCCTGGGACTGCTCCTCCTCCAGCTCTGCAATCTTCCGCTGAAGCACGCTGTTGATGCCAGGTAAATTGTCGTCCCCAATGTGGGTGAGCAGGATGGAGTCCACTCGGTCCAAGTGCCGGATCAGCTTCCAGAAGCAGGATTTTCTTTCTGATCCTCCATTGATGAGCATGTTGAATCCGTTCACTGCAAACAGGGCAGAATCACCTCTGCCTCCTGGAAAAATGTAACAGCAGGGTTTGGACAGCTTTAGAAATCCACCTGAGGTGGGGGGTTCCAGGATGTCAAAGGGAGACGGGACTTCCACGGATTCTGAGAGATACTCAGTAAACTCAGAGAGTCCTTCCATTTCTGGCAAGATAGAAGCTGAGTTGAGTTTAATATTGATGAAGTCTTGGAGGTTGTGTCGATCAAGATTGGAATTCTTCCAGTCCCCTTCTTCGGGACAGAATAGGGTTAGGCTGGCTTTGTTGGCAGGATGGGTGGTACTCAGTAACTCCCCAATCTAGGTTTAAAAGGAAGAAATAAAGCAAGAGAAGGTTTAAGTGGCCCATCACCTCCATCTCTTACAAGTTGTTACAGGATCAGTGAGTGCATGTGGGCTAGTTTCATAAATGCACTTGTTTATATGAACTGATTAAATCTTGACATATGTACATACAGGAAGGTGAACAGCCTCTGTCCTGAGCCCCCTGTTACTCTCTTCACCCACTACCAGCACCCCTCCTTCTGACCTCTCTTCCATATATCCTTGCCCAGCAAGGGAACTCCAGTAGTCCCAAACTAGTGACCACCTGGGTGACGGGTGCTTGGGCTGCAGCAGTTATGAAATAACTTAAATATTCCCCCTGTGTATTTGCCATGCAAAAGTGCCCTTTAAAAAAACATTAAACTATCACAGGGGAAAGCTATGTGAGTCAATTCACCACTGATATAAAACTTTTGCTTTTAACCCATAGGGCTTGACCAAAAAAAAAAAAAAACCCTGAAGGACACATGAATAGAATTTAGATAATAGTGCTTTTCTTGCTATCTTCTTTTAGAATTCAGTAGACACAAAAGAAATAAGTTTGATAGGCTGCCCCCCCACACACACTCTAGGAGACAGGAAGCTATGAATTACCCGTACAAAAAATTACTGGTTTTTGGCCTCAGTACCATGTTTTAACACTAGTTAAAACATGAGTGGTTTACTCAGCAGGTCCTCCGCAAATACAAATGCTTTTATTAAAGCCACAATGATTAAAATGGATGAATAATTATACAAGTCAGTGGCCAGATCATTCCCCATTTGCTCAAGCTTATATCCAAGGTGAGACACTCTACTTTCTCCCTACTCCCATTGGACAAGGTGGATACAAGTGGCTAAGGCCACATTTGGCCCAAGCATTTTTCATTACACTATTTAGTACTCCCCAAGGAAGGGAATGTGGAATTGAGACCAAAACGGAGACTATGGTGTAATGAAAACACTATTTTCTTTCTTGAGCCACACTGCCAGTCCATTTTGCTCTAGTTATTTTGGAGATGGGGGTCTCATGAACTATTTGTCCTGGCTGGTCTCAAACCTTGATCCTCCCAATTTCAGCCTCCCAAGTAGCTAGGATTGCAGATGTGAGCCACCAGTGCCCACCTTTCTCTGTCCCTTAACCTCTAGACATCAACATTCTGAGGCCACTACTGTGTGTGCATATGTGTGTGTGTGTGCATGCGCACGCACGTATGTGCGTAAGGTTATTGTATAGAATCTGAATTTCTTATATTACATTGAAGTAAAAAAAAAAAAAAGACATTTTTGCTTGGTTAGCCTATTAGTCCCAAGCATAACATTTTATGTGAAGGGTCACGAAAATAGCAAAAGAACAAAACTTTTCTATTTTCCTCTCATTTAATTTTATAATCTCCTATAAGAATCAATTCCTATTTTGGAAGCTAAGAAAGCTGAAAAAGCAAATGGTAGCCATCTTTGGGAGGAATCTTTGCTCAGATAGTTTGCTGGCCAAAGCACACATGAGCACCAAATGTGGTTCCTTGTCCGTTAATTAACACAGACCCTTACTGCCATCACTCTAACACAATGAGGATTCTCTTGATCCTGATTTCCACACGAAGCACAGGCAAACTATTCATGTTTTACAAGACATTTTAGGGGGCAAACTCAGGACTACTCAAACTGCTGAATCTTTAGTAGTGAACATTTAAAACTAAGTTTAGTTCATTTCAGTGTTAGAGTTGAAATTCCATTATAGCTGAGAAACGGGGCAGACAGTCAACAGCATAATTTAGATGTGGGTGGGTGGGGTATTTGATTATTAGCTCTATTTGTATGAAAATATATAATCACCAAGTTCAAAGAGAAAGTAAAAACACTTGAGGAATATTACCCTACTTTCCATCTTTTCACCTCTACACAGGGAGTTTCAATGAAATATAGAAAGTGATTCAAAACCAAAACAAAGTTGCACAGAATTCTGCAGAGGTCAGGGGGCATGAAAAACAGCCAAGAGAGGTCAGTGAATGGACAGCCATGGTGGGCAAGGCAGAGCAGAAAAGAAAGCCATTGCTGTTGAACAAGTTTCTTTTTTCAGAGTGGGAAACTCTGGTCCTTCTGGAAAAATGGCAGCATACTGTATATGATGAAACAAGAGACCAGTGCTGGAGAGAGCCAGGAAAGGAGGCAGGTAGGATGGGGCAAGGAGGAGCAGGAACAAACACAATATCCTTGGAGCCACACAACATAATCAACATAGCCTGACTCTGGCCCTGTAAATCAACAAAGACCCTAGACAGCACCTGCCTCAAGGGCAATGTCTGTGTCTTAGTGCCCAGCCCACTGTCGCACTGAATCGATGCTTGTTAGTGAATAGCTGAGATCAGTAGGGAAGATCCGGCAAGGTCAGCCGTGGCAAAGAAACCCGTGACTAGTTCTTAGAAACTGAGGCTTCTTTAAATGGATTGGGAAACCATCATAAAGGTAAATAGTAAGCATATAGGTAGCAGAAGCACATCTTCTATACAGTCCTATCTCAGTTATCTTGTTTTCCTAACACATAACCAGACTTAGTACATTTGGTGAAACTGTAGTAAATTTGGCCCGTTCAAGACATGCTGTCTTCCTGGAGTGGACACATGCCATGAGCTTGCCTATCAAACACAAGCGCTGTTACCATGGTTCTTACAAAGATGAATGGCAGACAGGAGTAGGAGCAATACTGCTTTGGGGCAAAGATCATCTCTTTTGTTAATTACCTTTCCTGATTAAATGCAGGCATACGGGAAGAGGAAGGAAGATAAAGGAAATAAATGGCTTTTCTGCAGATGACATTAATGAAACAAGATTTGAATTTCTAAGCCATGGCCTTCTAACTCCATTTCCTTTTTTGATTAGGTTACTTGCTTGGCTGATGAGGAAATACCGTAGACAGTGTATCCCTGGGCTTTAGCAGGACATTTAATAGGATCTAGGACCAGTATGATAGCAGAATTAGATGAATTTATAGACAGCCATAGAAATTGTGCTACTTACTGTTATCCTAAAGGGAGGTCTGAAATGGGCTACCTCAGGGTTCACTTCCACCCTGTTGAATGTTCACTTGGATAAAAATGTGCTGGTCAAATGTGTGAATGGCATGAGAATGAGGGATATAACAGTACGTGGGATGGCATAACTAAGGTACTTATGATGGCTACGTCAGTTCTAACAGGATGGCTTTCTAAAGGGATCAATGTAAGGTCTGATAAACCAGCCGAGTAAAGTATGGGATTGAGAGATGTGGCTTAACCACAATATCCACAGGGAAAAAAACTCAAGGATTTTAGTTGACAGTCATGGATTTATTAAGAAGCAAAAGAAGCTTAAACTTCAAGGTCCCTCACTGGCTTGATCCTCTACAAAAGCCCTAAATTTAATAGTATATTAATAATGGTGTTTTCCTTAATGGGAGCCCCCGTGTTGTGTGAATTGCAGAGCTCCTCGAAACCTGCACCCCTCCTCTGACATTTAATCATACACTGTGATGGCCAAAAGTTATTTTTACATTCACTTAATACACGACCGTGCTGAAAACTATTGACTCTCACAATCCTACTCTGGATGACTGGAATACTGTGTCCAGTTTAAGTCATGATGTTCTATAGGTTTTTTTCTTCTTTTCTTTTCTTTCCCTAAGGCCTTGGATACACTAGGCGAGTACTCTAACATTGAGCTATATCCCCAGCCTATGTCAAAACATTTTAGAGAAACTAGACCAAATCCCCGAAGTTTCCCTTGCTGGCTCTTCTTTGGTCTTAATCTCTAGATTCTAGACCTAGGTCCCTTTCTCTTAAAGCATTTGTGTCTCTAGATCACATGTATCTTCTGGGCTGTAAATTCCTCTAAGCTGATCATGGTAGTATGTGAATGTAATCAGGCACTCAGCAGGTGGAGGCAGGGGGAAGCAGGGGGATCTCAGGTTTGAGGCCAGCCTGGGCTACATAGCAAATTCAGTCCAGTCTAGACCACATAATGAGACTCTGTCTCAAAAAAGAAAAAAAAAAGGACTATGGGGTGTGGCTCAAGTGATAAAGCATCTGCCTAGCAGGCAGAAAGCCCTGAATTTAATTCCTAGTACCACCAATAAATAAATAAACAAATAAATACCTTGAATACATAAGTGGATTATAAATTCCTATCTCCAAGCCAAATCTGAGTTCTCCAGGTCTGAACTCAAAATCCAGCAGTCTGAGAACTCAGACTGCTGAACTCTTGCATTTTCCCCATCCCCACCCCACCTGCCCTTCTTGACAAGACAGTGACCAGGGCATATAAGGAACTTTTAGTATGTTATAAAGAACTATGAGTAAAAATAAAGATGGTTAATCTGGGGTGGAGGTGGTTAGGGGTATCTAAGACATGGTAAATGGAAAACAGACTTCATTCCTTTATTTATAGATATAATGAGCTGGGTGTGATGGTGGACACCTGCAATCCTAACCCTTACGAGGCTGAGACAGGAGGTTGAGTTAGAGGCTCTAGCCTGGGCCATATAGTGAGACCCCTGTTTCAAAAAAAAAAAAAAAGTACAATAAACAAACAAATGATACAATGAGACAAATAAGGAAGAACCTTCTGAGATAGGCTTAAAAATGCCCCCAGGAGAGAATGATTTCACTGTCCCAAGATTTCAAGAGGGATAGGTCAGCCAGATGACAGCTGAATTTAAGTGCTGGTTTTATGTTGAACTTCAATGATTATGACTCCAAACACCTGAAGCTCAAAGTGCACTGAGAGTTCTTCTCAGTCCATTTATTTTTTAGCTATTCTTGCCAGGAAAAAACAGTGTATCATTTTTGTTTTTCTAAAATTATGTTTCTGATTTCTCTGAAGTTGACTAATATGTTTCAAGGACTGAATAAAATGTGCATACCTGGATGTCAAATGACCTCCAAGGCCCCTTTGTTATTGTTCCATTCTGTACTCTACTCTTCTCCAAGGCAACAATAGGCAATCATAGCTCCAAAGACACAACCACTGCTCTAGTGTAATCATTTTCTGTGCCATCCTTTCTACAGTGTCCATGGGGTGAAAGAAATTTGCTCTGGTGGAGACAGGAGTGAAAGCGAATTCTACCCCGTGTCCTCTTCCCTTGCCTGCCCCCCTGCCTAGATGCCTCTGATCTGCTCTGTTAAAGAGAAAACTTTAACAGAGCCTTTTCCACATGTGAGCATTACTTTCTCCAGGGTATCAGGATGGGGGTTAGGAGGGCAGCAGAGGAGAATACGACATAGTCTCTGGCCTCAGTAATGCCTGCCTGGGTGAAAGAAGATGGGTGCCCCTCCCTTCAAACCCTGGGGAGTCTGCCCTTTCACAGAACTCAAGTTCAGGTAAAGCTGTTTCTTTTTCTTCTGTAATGATAAAATCTGACACATGCACAGTCCATTGTACAAGAGGTCCACTTACATGGTCTGTAAAAATGGTTTAAGTAGCAATATTCATAATACTGTTCTTATTTTAAAAAGGGGGTTATTACTCGGGGTCCAGATGGATGAAATGTGATACCTCCTTATGTAAAATCTTGGCAATGGTAAATGCTTTTCTTTACATATTTCCTTTGTTTGGTTTTATGGCAAAAAACCAAACCAATGACATGGGTAAAAAGCAACCACTAGAAAGGAACTGCAGAATTGCACAGGAATGCTGGAAGGCGCCCATGTGCATATAAATGAGCCAAGGGCTCGGGGCTGAACTGAGCTTACAAGCAGACCACTTGACTGCTCACTGTGTCATTGGGCCACTTCCAGGCCTCTGTGGCTCTCTTGCTCCCTGGGACAAGATGTGGATAGCCTGTGTGACATCTGAGTTACCAGACAAATGCCAACTGCTCTGGATATGACAGGAACTTGAGGATACAATCTTGCAAAAGATTTTGACATTATGGCGACACTAATTTCAGAGCAGTGGGCGGAGTTGAGATGTCAATGCAATGAGCAGTGGTTACTGAGTCTTTAACAACATCTGGGTTAAACTATGAAAGAGACATGGAGCCTGACTCAGCTTTGGAGAAGACAAGAGCACAAGCACTGGAGAAAGGTTAAAACTTTCACTTTAAAGCAGTAAAGCCAGGCCAGCTGTAAGTGAGCCCTGAGGCCTTGGGTAAGGAGGCACTGGATGGCCTGCGATGGAAGTAAGAGAAATCAGAAAGAATTAGGAAAACCGGGTACAAGTACTGACAGAGACCAAGGCAGCGACCAAAAGCCCAAGAGACCTTTGGAGTATTCTCTCAGCAAACAGGAAGCCTGGATTTTCTCTGGGACACTGTCATTACATTTCTCCATCATTTTTGTCACCTATAAATATTGACTGTTCCACGCCTCCCCTTCCCCTCTTATCTCAAGCACATCAATTGCCAATGAGTGCTACAGGTTGTTTAGCAACAAGCCATAGGCCCTCTGTGTTTGGGGTCACACAGTTTTGCTTATTTCAAAGGGGCTGTAACATTCCCTTCTGTCTTTCCAAGAGCAGCCTGCGGCTAAACAATAATGAAGCTACTGGAACCCACCTCTTGGTCGGTGAAAATCTCTATGAAGTTCTGGAAGGAGAAAGAGCCGGACTGGAGAATGAGCTCTCCGGTGTTTTCAAAGCACTGCCCGGTGAGCACAAGCAGCTTGTGTCGGGCGGCGTCGGTGATCATCAAGCGCACCTGTAACACAGCAGGCGCAGCCGTGAACGTGGGCAGCGCTCCGCCCACCCAGGACCACCAGCAGAGTCCAAGTTCTTCCCCAGGCCTGGAGGCAGGAAGGGTTGGACGGAGCCCTGCCTGTAGGAACCGTCCACAAAATTGATGCATGTGGCCATTCGTTCCCCCAGGGAACACCATTTTCAAAGTTTTGCTTCAACCAACACAGTCATGGTGGTTGACTGCTCTCCCTAGTTTCCTCCTCTTTTCAAAGCAGTCTTCCCAGCTGGCAAGTATTTTGTTTCACAGCTGTTGAGAAGTATCTATGAGCAGCACACAGGCCAGGAAAGTCTGAGTTACCATAGACAGCCCAGGTCCTCCAACTATCTCCTCAGGAAGTACAGATTTCCAAGTGGGGTCCCAAGTTAACCCCTCCTATCCAGGATTCTCTACTTTCCAAGCCACAGAGCAAGCACTGCTGTTCCATGCACGGTCTCCAGAGGGATCAGCAAGGTGCCTGACATTGAACTTAGAGAAAAAACTACCCCTAAATGGCAATCTGTGAACTGAATTGCAAATGGTTTGCACTAAAGAACTCTCTATGAACTCTAAGTGAAGGGAGCCAGCTGGCCTTCCCCAGAAACACCACTCTAAGCACCCAAGGTATTGGGTTCTGGCCCAATTCGTGAATGCTGGGCCCAAGCTATATGCCATACATCATGCTAGACACTGGGGAGTACACAAACAGGCTGCTGGGGCCACAAACATGGCTCAAGTGATTGATAGAGTGCTTGCCTTGCAAGTGCAAGTCCCTGGGTTTGATTCTCAGTACCACTAAGAAAAAGTAAACCACTCACAACCCCTTGCCCAAGAACCCCAGTCTACTCAGAAATACACATACCCAAGCAACTACTTCAGCCCCATCTGATCCACAGGCAAGCCTGATTTCTCTTAAAAAAAAAAACAACTATATTTCTTATTTTCTCTTTTTCGTTTCTCACAGCTGTTTCAGGCAGTCTGCCCAGACACATACTAATCCTCCAGCTTTTTTTAAGCTATAATTACTTCCTGATTTTGTCAGTCACAGAGAGACTGGCATCTAATACTTATGCAACCTCATGACTTAATGGGTTGTCAAAGAGGTTTTGCTAATCTGAAACAGTATTGAATCAAAACAGGCTACCATCACAGTAGCCAAAAAGTACCCAATTATCCATCAACTGAGGGGTGAGTAAACAAATGTGGTATATCCATATGATGGACTATTATACAGTCGTGAAAAGGAATGCTACAATATGGCTGAACCTTGAAACAATTTTGCTAAGTAAAATAAGCCATACAAAAAGGATACATGTTGTTTGATTTCACCTATGTAAAATGTCTGAATAGGCAAATCTAGACAGAAAATAGATTAGGGGTTGCCAACAGCAAAGGGGAATGGGGCATGACTGTTAATAGTTTTGGGGGAGTTGACCAGTGATAGGCATATGCTGGAATTAGACAGTGGCTGCAAAAATTTGTAAGTATACTAATAATCAATGAATTGCACACTTTAAAGATGAATTTTATGATACATAGATTATGTCCCAATTTTAAAAAAGAAACCAGGATATAATCAGAAATGCTCAAAGTGTGGGCAAAAGACACTGCAGATAACATTTGGCTACTTTAATGTTCAAGAAGGCAACTCAGTCTCCCAGGTGCTAAACTATGACCCCAGAAGCAGGAAATGGAGCTATGCCAGCTCCGTCCGTGGCCTGGGTAACCAGGGATTCCTGACTTTAGTCAAATTCTTATGTTGCAGTGGGCGCTGACATTCCCAGTTATTATCTGTAGCAACAATTTCATTAGGTAATAATAATAATAAAGTAGCAGAAACCAACATTGATATTTCATTCCATACTCAGTTGTGAGTCATATCAAACCATGACATTAAGTAGGACATTAAATGTAGGGACAGTTATGAAAGCCATCTCACAGAGGTGTAAACTGAAACAGATAGTAAAGAATTTGCAGAGCTGGAGTTCGGACCAGGTCAGGTGTCCTGGAACCAGACAGAGTCCATGCTGGACCACCGTGTTAGCTAGCCTTCCTTTCACCTGTGGCAAGGGCTGAGCAGGATTTCTCTGCCCCGGGGAATTCCATACAAGATGCTGTTCTTCTCCAAGTTCCATCCCTGGAAGTCCCAGCCTGAGGGTCTGCAGTCTATGACCTCTGCTACTTCCCTGCCACACTCTACCCTGCCAGCACACATCCCATGGGTGCCCAAAATTCTACACTCCCTCTCCTCGGCAAAATATCCGTGTTCCAGCTACATGTTCCATGGTGTCCTTATTGGTAGGGACAATGTAAGGTGGTGTCAATTCAGAGAACCAGCCACTGACTTGGGGTTAAGGAAGATCCCTGGACGCTGGCCTTCTCACTCCTGTGTCACTCTCTGCCCCCCACCTGTCCAACCCATCTGGGTTTCTGTTCAGTGAGTGAGAGCCCCACCCAAGACCCCACAGAACCAAATGCTCACCTCAGTGCTGACCGCTTCATCCGAAGGGTTGATGAGGACCACTGTTTCTAAGACGTCACTTCGGTGATGAAGGATCTTTTGTCCTGCAGGCACAAAAACACACAAAGAGGAGCCCTTTTAGCTTTCAGGGATAAAAGCTGCCCTCCCTTTTTTGGGAGGGCAGAGGAATTGCTGCCTGCAATGTGGCATGGAGCAGCAGGTTTCTCTGCATGGTGTTGGGGGACACAAGGGGTACAACTGAAGAAGGGGATACATACACGGCAGGTTTGTCCCTGAGCTGGGACTGTGTGGCCTGGGACTCTCTCTGCAGGCTCTCACACTCTCTGGTTTTCATGGTTGATCGCCAGGCAGCCTCTAATGGCGGTTTTCATCTGAGACAAGGCATGAGCGCCAGGAAAACTCAACGGGCTCTTGACATTTCCTTTCTCATGGTAATTGGGGATGTTTCTCCCTATCAGCCTTTCTTCTGGTGAGAACTGCACCAAGATTAATTAGGAGCCTTATTGTGAAATGAATGACGTCCAGAAACCCAGGCTTAACAATTAGCCCAACAGCCAGAATGGCTGTCTGGGGCAGGCTGACGGTCTGTTGGGGTATTCATTAATTAATTCACTTGCTCACAGAAAAGTGGAGTAACGATGGACAAATAAAAAGCGGAGGACAAGCCTCCCACTGCACAGGGAGGCTAAACTGCCCCCCAGGACAAGCAAAGATGGGGGCCAACAGCAAAGCAAGATGTCATGGGGACGGAGGGCTGAAGCAGTGCAGGCTCTTGGACTTCCCACACCTCGTAGGTTTACACAGTTCAACCTCCATCCAAGGTGGACGGAGGCCTGTGGATGGCCTTCTACAAATACTCCCCTCCCTCAACCAGGAGATGAAGTCACACAGCGAACATGACCAGAGTTGGTGATACACATGCTACCAGCTGAAAAGGGACAGAGAAGAAGGGTGTTCCCTCAGAAAAGGGGGAGGAGGACAGGTGGTTTGGAGGGACAACAAGAACACATCAGCAGCTTGGAAGCTCAGTAACAGGAAGAGATGGAATAGAGTCTAGGAGACAAGTGCCAACACAGAGGAGACCAATGACCTAAAGTAACCGTTTTCCAGACAAATAGCTCAGTGGTTCTTCAAACAGCTGAAGTAGAAATAGAATTATATATGACCCTGAGGGCTGGAGGCATGACTCAAGCGGTAGGTAGAGCACTTGACTGGCAAGCATAAGACCCTGAGTTCAAATCCCTGTACCACCACCACCACCCAAAAAAAAGAAAAAAATCACATACAAGCTGACCATTTCATCTTTAGGTGCAATTGGAAGTAAGGACTAGAACAAATATTTGTATGCCAATGTTAAGTACAGCATAATTCACAACTGCCAAAAAGTGAAGCAAGAGAAATGGCCCTCTCTAGATGATTGGCTAAAATGTCATATACCCATACAGTGGAATACTAGTCAGGTGCAATGCTACGACAAGGATGAACAGGCAAATGCACAGAGTCAGATTCACAGAGTAGATCAGTGGTTACTGGGGCTAGGGGAGGGGACATGGGAGTCACTGCTTCCTGGGTACACTTTCTGTTTGGGTGATGAAAACATTTTGAAAATAGAGGTGATGATGGTGCAGTTAATGTAAGAATGTGTCAACTGTAATTAACATCACTGAATACATTTAAAACAGTTAAAATGGCGAACTTTGTTTTATATAAATGTTATCACAATGTTATCATTGTGATATGACAATAATCACCGAATAGTACACTTCACATGGGTACATGGCATGGTATGCAAATTATATCTCAATAATGTGATTAGAAATGAAAGAACACAGTGCAGAATCACAGCTTAGTTAGGGTTTTTTGGTTTTTTTCTTCTATATCATCACGGACCAGAAATACCATAGCAATAGCAACACGTTGACATTCTTACCCCCATAGCCATCCTCCTGCCATTCTCCTCCCCATCACACTTTTCCTAACAGCTAGTATTCACCGGTAAACCCTTGTCAGACATAGAAACATCCAAACTAGCTGGTAACAGTGCCAGGCACTGTTCTAAGACTTCGCCTACAGATTTCATTTAATCTCCAAGGAGCTCTCTGACATAGGCACTGTGATTATCCCGTTACTGGCCAGGACAGTGAGTCAACAGAAGAGAATTATGTAGCCAAGGTCACACAACTACTAAGTCATCAAGCAAGGATGTGGACTCAGGTTGCATGGTCCTTTCAGGTCACTGCCCTATGGTACTCGTTACTGGAACTAGAATCTGGAAAAATAGACAAGGCGCATCTGCCAAAAAAATGCCAAAAAAAGCTAGGGAATAGGAAAAGGAATAAAATCAGAGACGTGCTTAAAGAAACAGGAATCAGAAAGCATCAGAGGAAGAATACTCGTCAAAAAAAACCCCAAAAAAACTAATAAACAACAACAAAAAAGGCAAAGGGGGTGGGGCAGGACACCTACTTAAAAGTAAAATTAAGCGGAAGTATGCAATGCCTTATTCCAAATGCCTAAACATGAAGAAACCACATCAGAACAATGTCACACAGCATGAGCAGGCAAAGAGCTGAGGCATATGAAAAACAAAGTGCTTTCATGATGAATGTTGAATTTTGTAATTTGTTGGAAATTACTTTTCAGCTCTTTCGTTGGTTTGTTTTTGAAAATTATGTGCTTTTAAAACTAAATCAAAAGGAAATCAAATCGAATAATGAATGATAAAATGAAAACCAGCAAAACACTTTAAATCCATCCTCCATCAAGTGGCCTTAAGTCCTTCCATCAGTGGCTTCCTTGGAACAAAGACTTCAGGACCTTTGAAGGCATGAAACTGAGACAAAATTAGACCAAAGCTTCAGACCAAGGAGAAGTGGATGGGGGCATGTCTGTCATCATTGATGGTACTCTGCAGGAAATTGTAAAAGCAAAGTGGAACAAGGCTAGAAGTGGCTCCCTCTCCAAGAGTCAGTAATGGGATCAAAGCCCCTTTCTCTAAGTGTCTCTAGTGTCCTAGACCCCACCCTGCTGACCGCACCCTGCAAAATACCCATCCAAGCAACACCAGCCAGCAGCCAATTCCTGCCCACCCGGCACCCTCTCCCAGGCTACAGGCCACCCCCTGGCAGGGGCTTCTTACCATGCACTGGAAGGTCCCTTCCTTTTGACTTCATCACTTGGAAGCAAAACAAATGCCATGTGACACTACTGGTTACCTCTATTCCTCCCAAGCTGATTTTCAGACAGGTTAGCCCAGGAATTCAACTGATGATGTTCTTTTTGTCCATCTTTGGAAGTACTGAGAGAAATGACACGGACGTGGGTGCCCCAAGATGTCATGGCCACTCCTTCAACAACAGCCTTTTGATATGATTGGTTTGAATGAAGGAGGGAAAAAAACTTTCAGGGGAGAGCGAGAAGCTCTGGGATCTTGTGGAGGCTGGACCTTCCTGGCATCTGGCAAAGCCACAGCCTGGCTGAGGGGCTTGCCGCCCCCTTCACCCCCAGCATCCCGTGGGTGCCAGCTCTCCCAGCAGGCGGCTGTCTGCTCACAGAGTTGCATTTTTGGAGAATGTTTCACACTGGGAAGCAGGCCAGGCATTCTGAAGGAGAAGCCACCACCCTTGCCTGCAAAGGTCTCACTCTGTTGCTTCAGAAAAGAAGTTCCCAGGAAAGAAAGACTCAGGGCTTCAGCCTCTGTCCCCACCATTCTAGCCTGCACTCTTGAGTGACCTCTGGCAGGAGAACCAGGAGGCAGCCCTGTCTTTAGGGTTGGCCTGAGGGGTGCAAAAGCAGAACCTGGAGGAGTGACTGTGTGACCTAAGGCTTCTGTAAGGAAAGGTCTGGGTGTGTGGGGGGGTTTCCCCACAAAGCTCTGTGTGATTACAAGCCTTGACCTGGTGTGGCGGGAGCAGCCAAGAAGGCTGCTGAGTGACAGGAAGGGTCTGCTCCACCTCATAGCACCAGGGTCCTTGCACACAATGGGGCTTTTGTCTGTGCTCTCCCATTGTGGAACTCAAAGAGAAGCCGTATTTTTCAGTTATCTCAAAGATAAACTGAATCTATGTGTCCTTTAAAGTTGGGCTGCTTATGGTAGTTTGTGTTTTACTACATCCAGGAGATTTTGAAATCTTTTAGAGCAAGAACTATTTTCTGTTTATAAATTTTTAAGATGCTTATGGGGTTTCTTCTTCGTAGTTTGAGATTTGTCTAAACATGCATGTGCGTACACACACACACACACACACAGGCTCTCACCTTGGTTTCAGAAGTTGACCTATGGCTGAATTCAGATACACAACCATCGAGGCACAGCTACCACCAAAGCCCCACACAACTCAGAACTGTCTCTTACATACATGGCCGACCCTTCTCTCCCACACACCACCCCCCGGAACACAGTAGCTGGGAGACTGTTAACATCTCAACTGGGGCCAGGGCACCCCCACACCACTCAGCACAGGCAGCAGGAGGGGGGCCAGCTCCAAAGCAGCAAGGGTGCTGGGAGCTGAAGCAAAACCCTTGATAAAAACAGTAACTAGTTACTGCAAAAACCTTTGAAATTGTCCTTAAGAGAACAGCAACCATTTCCCTCATCGCCTTTTATTACCATTGTGACAAGCAACTATGTCCCTCCTCTTCAAAGATGGAACTGGGAATATGTTATCATCCGTGTCAAAAGGGACTGAGTTAGTATGTTTAATGGTATGAACCTTGAGATTGGGCATAATCCTGGCTTATCCTGGTGGGCCCAGTCTAATCACACGAGTCTGTAAAAGTGGTGGACCTTCCCAGGCGGGGTCAGAGGGAAGGACGGGAGAGTCAGGGTGTGAGAGGGACTTCACCCACCATTGCTGGTTTTGAAGGGGAGAAATAGGACACTAATACAAGGATTCAGGTGTCTTATAGAAACTGGGAATGGGCCTCTGCTGACACCAGCACGGAAACAGGGACCTCACTCCTACAGTCACAAGAAACTGAATTCTCCCAACAGCTCAGCTGAGCAAAGAAGCAGCTCTTTCCCTGGAGCCTCTAGAAAGGAGAGCAGTCATTTCTGGGTGAGACTTCAGCTGGACTCAGCTGC